GAAAAGGTATGATTTTTAATGTAGGGGGGGGGGTCGTAAGCAAGTTTTTTGGGATAGGGGAGTTATTTATAAGTAGGGGAAAGAGTGATTGTCGTTTTATGTCCTGTAAAGAAAGTTCATGTCATTTTTTGCTTTGTAAAGAAAGCTTGCTATTTTGGTTTTTTAAAGAAATTTCTTGCCATTTTTTAATTTGTAAAGAAAGTTTTTGTCATTTTTTGTTTTGGAAAGAAAGTTCTTGCCATTTTTTAATTTGTAAAGAAAGTTTTTGTCATTTTTTGTATTGGAAAAAAAAGTTCTTGCTATTTGTCTTTGTAAAGGAAGTCCCTGCGATTTTTTTTTTACAAAAATGTCCTTCCCCCCTTTTTTGTATTTACCCCTGCCTTCTTTTTTGGATCTTTTTCTCCCTCATCTTCTTACCCCCCCCCAACCCCAAATAATTACTATGTATTACCCCAAACCAAGGTAATCACAATATTTGGGCCTCATCCAGACCCTGACCCTGGACTTCCGGGTAGCCTCGGAGCCTGTTCAAGTGAAATGCCTCAGAGTCAGCCTTAATTAACCATGGTAACACTCGAGTAACGTGACGATGATGCAATATCGCACCGTGGTAATGTTGCGCGTACTGTAGTTGGCCTGATGGGTTAAATGAAGTGGGAATTGGATAGGTATGGGTATTAATGTGTTTTGGGTAATATTTGAGGATTTTTTGGGGTGGAAAAAAAGTTCTTGCCATTTTAACTTTTGTAAAGAAAGTTCTTGTGATTTTGAAGTTTGTAAAGAAAGTTCTTGCAATTTTTAATTCTTTGTACTTTTAAGGGCGGTTGGTTAACTTTAGGGTTGTGCAGGCTGCGGGTGATAAGTTATACGTTGAACGTTAAAATTATGACATTTTTTGTTTTGTAAAGAAAGTTCTTGCAATTTATTTTAATAATCCAACTTGTTTTACGTTTGGCAGCCTACGGGTGACAAGTTATACGACGGATCTTAAAATTATTAGATTTTTCGGGTTGGAAAGAAAGTTTTTGCCGTTTTTTGTTTTGTAAAGAAAGTTCTTGCCGTTTTTGAGCTGTAAACAAAGTTCTTGCCATTTTTTGTTTTGTAAAGAAAGTTCTTGCCGTTTTTTGAGTTGTAAACAAAGTTCTCGCCATTTTTTGTTTTGTAAAGAAAGTTCTTGCTTTTTTTATTTTTTGAATTTGTATTTTCTTCACCGTGCTTCAATTCCAAATTCTGCTTCACCGCACCTTCACGTGAATGACTGTTCTCTCCCCCCCCTCCCTAACCTTGTGAGTCGGTCCTTTTGGCTTTATCCCTTCCATCGGTCCCATTTTCCTCCTTTTTTTTGCGCACATGAAACTGTGCAAACAAACCGCGCCCTATACCGTGGGCATTCGATGACAAGACCCTCGCCTTCCCTCTTCACCTACATTATAGTGGAGATGAAGAGGCGAAGACATATTATACTCGAAGACAACGGTAAAGTAATATTATTGCAGGTTAGCGTACAACAATATAAAATGGCAAGAACTTTCTTTACAAAACAAAAAATGGCAAAAACTTTCTTTACAAGTCAGAAAACGGCAAGAACTTTCTTTACAAAACAAAAAATGTTATAATTCTACTATTCGTGGTATAACATGTCACTTGCAGGCTGCGCATTACTAAAATTAACACAACAGCCCTAAAAAACCAAAAAAAAATTTAAAATAATAAAAAAATGGCAAGAACTTTCTTTACAAAACGAAAAATGGCAATAATTTTCATTACAAGAAGTAAATTAAGTTTTATCGTATAACTTATCACCGGCAGGCTGCCAAACCCAAGAACTGCTACGTTTAGCGCCAAAAGGGCAACTTTCTATACAAAACAAAAAATAGCAAAAACTTTCTTTACAAAACAGAAAATGGCAAGAACTTTCTTTACAAAACATGAAATGGCAGAAACTTTCTTTTCAACTTAAAGAAGCAAGAACTTTCTTTACAAAAATTCAATTTTTTTCAAAAACTGAAAATTTTTGAAATTTGCAAAATTATTAAAATTTATTTTAAAAATTTTTTCGAATTGCTATTTAAAAATGTTTTTGAACCTCGAATTCTCGAGAAAGGGGGGTTTGTTTGCACACCTTGATGGCAAGGCCGGGTACCGTTGTGGTCGAGTGGCGAACATTTTTGTTTTCAAATTGGTCTTTATAACAAAAGACGGGAAACGAGAGTACGATGACATTGATATTATAGTGTAATGACATACTATTTTTCAAAAAATTTTTAAAAAATTTAAAATAAAAAAATTTGCATATTATTGTTACTTTTGGCCATTTTTGATGTTATAGGTGATCAAATTACCTAAAATATTGAAAAGAGAATGTAGAATAGCGCAAAATTACAGTTGTAACATTACTTTTAAAAAAATGTATAAAATTACAGTAATCCAAGCTTTTTGGCCTTCTGCAATTTTTGATGCATTGCATCGCCATGGTTAATATATTTGACTTGAAAATTTAAACCAAGATGTTAAAATGTCTTAAAATTACAGTAATATAACTTATTTTTGACTAAAAGTACTACAAATTACAGTAATCCCAACTTTTCTGTCCCGCGTCAAAAAGAATTGGTCGTTTCCTTATGAAAACACATAAGAAATGGATTAATTCTTTTTGACACGGTTGAGAAAGACTTAAATAAAGTCAAGTAATAGTATTATTAATAAAGTAAAATACGATATTGTTAAATTTTCAAATTCAAACCAAATATGTGATTGAAAACCGACACCGTATATCGTATTACACACAATGTACCGCAGTTGGGGACGCATGGTAATTGGCGGCAAGGGGAAGTAATAAGCCGAAAAATTGGGAAAAAAGTGGATTAAGTGGCGAATCACAAAGTCGAAAAGGAACTGGCATTAAAGAGACGGGTGAGAGGGGGGGGAGCAAAGGAGAGATAATTAGGTGAGGCGTACTGTATCTTTCTATCTATAAGGTATAGTAGAGTAAGATAAGGTAAAGTTGACCATGGTATTGAGGATAAAGAAGGATAGGATAGGTAGGATAGGGTCTGTTTAAAGTAAGGTAGAGATTCTCGTACAATAATGTCTATAGAACGGTACGGCTCAGAGAACAGAGAAGCCTACGATACAGTATTGCCTTAAGTACGGTAAAGTTAAAGTAGAGCGTAGCTTTAAATACCGTAGGGTCTAAGACATAGTAAAATACACGATGAAGTCTAAGATAGCTTAGGGTAATGTCCAGGGTACAATATAGCCTTTGGTACAGTAGAGCCTTTAGTACAGCTTGACCTATAGTACAGTCGATTTTAAAGTACAGTAATTTCTAGATTACAGTAAGACCTACTGTACTGTAGAAAATTAATTAGGTTAAAGTCGAGTAATTTAGAGTAGAATTAACAATGTTAGGGTAAGATATGACTAACTGCCTTATTTTACAGTACTCTAAATAACCGAACGTTACTGTTCCTCTCTTCTCTCTTGACTGCTTTTTGTGGCCGAACAAAAATAACGTCTCGTCTCGCTTTTTCTTCGTGGACTAGTTTTTTTTTACTATATCGATATTTTTTAATTCGCAGATCAATGATTATGATATTATAGTTACTCGGTTATGTATTCCACGATAGATCCAATTTAAGATTTAAACTTAGACTGGAGCTTAAGGTTACGCTTTCAGTTAGGCTTGGTTCTAGTTTTAGCCCTAAGGCTTAGACATAGATTTAGGTTTTGAATTAGCCTTAGAGTTAGGGGAGTCGAGCCTACGTATGATATTAGGCGTAAGCTTAATATCATACGTAGGCTTGACTAGTCTTAGCTCTAGCATACGTTTTTTTGGGCTAAACATGAGCTTAAGCCTAAACTTAAGCATAAGTCTAAACTTAAGCCTAAGCCTAAGCCTTAGTTTTTTTTAAACCTAGCCCTAGCTCTTCTCCAAGCCATAGCCGAAGTCCCAGCCCTAACCCACCGTCTTTTTTTCTGACTTTTTTACTACACCCATACGTTCCATAACATGACAATAGTAACGAAACTCGCAGTGTCTGAATGGTAACACACATTTTATTCTGTAGATGGTGTCTTTGTTAGAGACCGACCGTATGACAAACGAAAGAATTGGCTGTGGAAGGGGGGGGGGGATGGAGAAGGGCGCACACGTGTAGTCAACCGTCGCCCCGTTCCGAAGCCTATGAATGTGTTTTCCGCGAAAAAAAAATTTTTTTTGGGCGCAAAACAGTGGAAAATAAGGGGGGGGGGGAGAGACCGGAGTCGGGAATTTCTGAGTCCGCTTTATACCTTAAGGCAATTTTATTGATCGGTTTGTGTGACATGCAGGCTGAAGACGGTACCTTCTGAAAATGGAGGTGTTGGGGAAAGATGAGAGGGTAGATAATTGAAAAGAATTGGAAGAGATGAAAGGGCAGATTATTGAAAGGGGGGGGGGAAAGAAGGAGTGAGTTTGAGGGGTACAACAGATATGGTGTGAAGGGAGGGGGGCTATGGGATCGGAAATAATAAGGGGGGGAGGCGGGGGGGGGGTACTAAATGTAGAAAGACTATCCAATACTTGGGAGAGGGAAGGCACTGAATAAATTTTATTAGTGATAGAGGAGGGGGGGGGGTGGTTGTGTGAAAAGATTAGGAAGGAGAAGGTGAAGAAGGGTAGTTAGGGCAGGTTAAGATAAAGGTAGCAAAGGGTATTTTCTTAATGATACTGTAACAAAAAAAGGGTAGAGTAAGATAAGTTAGAGTAGGGTAGGGTAGGGTTGGGTAGGGTAAGGCGTAATAGTCTATGGTAATTTCTGCCGTTCCGTGCCGTGAATTTTGAAAATTTAAAAAATACGACGTTTTATGTTTTTTTTAATTTTAGGTACAGAACCTGATAATACAAGATCAAAAGAAGCTACAAACAACTTTTAACTGCTACTTCCGTATTTTACAAAAAAAAACTTTTTTTTGTTAAATTTTTTCATTTTTTAAAATTTTTAAAATTTTTTTAAAAAATGAACACCGACCAGTTGAATTCGTCGATGACGAATCCACTTCAGTCGATCGGATCGACCATTCCCCTCCTCAACAACCTACAGCTACAATCGACCAGTAATGCTGCTGCCATGTTGGATACATCCACTCTCTATCCGAATGGGGTAGGTTCTTAAGTTATTTTGAACTTTTTAGAAAGGGCGTGGCAAAAAATAGGTTTTTCATTGAAAGCATGGTAAAAAATGATTTATAGGGTAGGTCGTGACAAAACAATGTTGTATAAGGAGGGCATGTCAAAACATATGTTTTTTATTAAGGGCATGGTAAAAAATGTTTTATAGGGTAGGGTGGGGGCACAAAATATGATTTTTTATCAAGGCCATGGCAAAAAAAAAGTGTTTTTCAAGTAGGGCATGGCAAAAAAAATACTTTATAAGATGGGCATGGTAAAAAATTTTTTATAGGGTGGGGCATGGCAAAAAATGCTTTATAGGGTAGGGCATGTCAAAACATATTTTTTTTATCAAGGGCATGACAAAAAAAGTGTTTTCTAGGTAGGGCATGGTAGAAAATGTTTTAGGGCATGACAAAAAAAGTAATTTATAGGAAGGGGATAATAAAAAATGAGATAAAAGACATAATTTGTGTATCCATCGTATAACTTGTCATCGGCAGACTGCGGAACGTAAAACAAGCTGTTTTAGTAAAATAAATGGCAAGAACTTTCTTTATAAACCAAAAATGGCAAAAACTTTCTTTACAAAACAAAAAACGACAAGAACTTTCTTTACAAATCAAAAAATGACAAGAACTTTCATTACAAAACAAAAAAATGTGAAGAATTTTCTTTACATAGCAAAAGATGGTAAAAACTTTCTTTCCACGCCTTAAAATCTCACTTTAAATCCAAAAAATGCGACCCAGCCCAGTAGTCCATGCTCGACCCAAACAACCCCACAGACTAAGGCCGAACTCGCTTTTACCGTCGTATTTATCTATCCAAATATTTGTTGTAGCTCTCTTTACACAAGTTAGTCGTATGTTTGCTGTAAATGTTTATGTTTGAAATCCCCGCCCTCAGGGTTTATTTGTGAGTTATGTTTGTAAATGTAAATAGAAAGTGTAAACAGTTAGTGGAAGGGAGAGGGTTAAGATGAGCTAGGGTTGAGAAGTTAAGTTCACATAGAACTGAAGGCTGACTGAAGGGGTTTGGGTGATTGAAGATAAGAAGAAGAGTATGGTTGGCACAATATTAAGGTATCACATAGTGTTGATTAAAGAATGTTATTTTTAGAGTACGGTTGGGTATAGAGTACGGTAAGGCTTAGAATACGGTAGGGTCTAGGATAAGGGACCTAGAGTACGGTGAAGACTACAATACGGTAGAATCTAAGGTACGGCAAGAATTAAGCTTGGTAGGCCTTACAGTACAGTTAAAACTTGGGTACGGTACTGCGTAACGTATAGTAGGGTCTTCAAGACTTAAGGTATGGTAGGGCTTACGGTACGGTAGGACCTAGGGTACGGTAGGACCTAGGGTACGGTACGACCTAGGGTACGGTAGGGCCTAGGGTACGGTAGGACCTAGAGTAGGGTAGGGAAAGGCAAGGCAAGGCAAGGCAGAACAGGGCAGGGCAAGTGTTTTCCAAACTACATGCTGTTTCATTCTAAACCCCTGAGGCAAAAAAAAGAGTGACCATTTGATAAGTTGTGTGTCATTTCATCTTCTGATTACAAACTGTCACGGTTTGGTGCGTTTTCAAAAACAGTCCATCAAAGCGGTTAATATGGGCTATCTTATCAATTGCAATTTTTTATGATCAGAGCTGGTCAGTGCTGTGGACAAGGCGTGAGCTTATTAACCGGTTTTTAAAAATTGAGATTTTTTGGAAATTTTAAAAACTGGAAAAAAAGTTCTTGCCATTTTTGTTTTGGAAAGAAATTTTTTCCCATTTTTGTTTTGTAAACAAAGTTCTTGCCATTTTTTGTTTTGTAAAGAAAGTCTCTGCCCTTTTTGGTTTTGGAAACAAAGTTCTTGTCATTTATAACCAGTGTGACCTTAAATGCCCTTTTCAAGGATTTACCGCGGTAATTAAACTTTTATGGCCAAAAAATTAATGCTTTTGCGCAATATCTATCGGCTTTGTCATCCTAATTTTATACCTTTTTCTTTTCCTTTATTGATACCAATATTTACCGCATTTTACGTTTTCGGGGATACTGTAACGTAAAAAATATTTTTTTTCTATTTTATAATTACTACTAACCCTTTTACATATTTAATTGACTTTTAGATATTGCACTGTGCAACCACTATTGACTGCACCGTGCAGTCGCTTATTTATTGCACTGTGCAACGGTGGAAATTACGTAAACTGCACAGTGCAACCATTAATTGATTGCACAGTGCATAAATTTTGTGATTATAAAATGGCAAGAACTTTCTTTACAAAACAAAAAACGGCAAGAACTTTCTTTACAAAACGAAAAATGACAGTAACTTTTTACAATTTATTGTGTAGTCTATTTCATACCTAAAAAGCGGGCTTTTGTGATCGAAATACGCATAAGTGATTATGCGATTGCTCATTAGAATGTTATCAGTTGGGGGTTGTTTTTGAGGTTATCGCCAACTTTCTGCTTTTGGTTTAAGCATTGGCGACTCATTTCCAAGTGCAGCGAAGACGATTTTCAACTTTTTGTTTTTAAATTTTAAGGTGTTTTGAATTGATTTTAATTTTTTAAACGTTTTTTTGGTGCCGCAGGCTGCGGATCAGAAGAAAAATTTGTATTTTAAGGTTTTGAAAAGAAAATTCTTGCCATTTTTTGCTCTGTAAAGAAAGTTCTTTCTATTTTTTGTTCTATAAAGAAAGTCCTTGCTATTTTTGTTTTGTAAAGAAAGTTCTTGCCACTTATAAGTCATAAAATTTTCGTACTGTGCAACCATTTTTTATTGCACCGTGCAGCCATTTAGTGAATGCACCGTGCAGCTTATGTAATTTCCACTGTTGCACAGTGCAATTAATAAATGACTGCACGGTGCAGTCAAAAGTTATTGCACAGTGCAATTTTAAAAAGTATTTTTGCTAATTCGAATGCACTTATAAATGTTATAAGTAACAGGCAGACTGCGGGTGACAAGTTATACGATGAATACCAAGATTGGGCTGTTTTTTGTTTTGTTAAGGAAGTTCTTGCCATTTTTTGTTTTGTAAAGAAAGTTCTTGCGTTTTTGATTTGTAAAGAAAGTTCTTGCCATTTTTCGTCTTGTAAAGAAAGTTCCTGCAAATGTTCGGTTTGTAAAGAAATTTCTTGGCATTTGTTGTTTTGTAAAGAAAGTTCTTGCCATTTTTCGCTATAAAAACAGTTTTGAAAGCCAAAACAAAACCGTGAGCAAAACAAGTTACAAATCGACTGTGGAGTCACGTCGACAATGACTGTCGCGTCTACCGTAGCCGGTCCAAAAATAGCCTCCACTTTTAGGTTTACGGGCCCTTTCCTGCGCTCGTCTATACGCTTTTTGTCTTCTTGCTCTCGGATCCAATGAATGAGGGTTGGTGTGGATATTAACCATGAGGAAATTCGGTTTTTGAGATTTGGTTTTGATTGGGCGGGGTAAAAAATAAAAATGAGGGTAGGGTAGGGTAGGAAAAGGTGGGTAGGTTAAAGTTACGGTAGGGAATGATAGGGTAGAAATGACAGTAGGGCAGAGAAAGATAGAAAGAAAGAAGGAAGGGGTGATGAAGTACATCTAAAAAACGGTAGGGCAGGCTAGGGCAGGGTAGGATAAAAAATCTTATTTTTGCTCAATAAAAATATTAGTATTACAAGGTAAGGTAGGGCGGGATAGAAGGGATGAGGGTAAGGTAGGCTAGAATTTGGTAAAATAGGGTGTCATAGGTAGGGTGGGACAAGGTGATGTTGTGGGGTTGGGCAGGGTAATTTAGGATAAGATAGGATAGCTTAGGGTGAGGTAGGGTAAGGTGGGGGTAGAATTGGGTCGAATACCTAATTTTCCAGTATGCCACCACCTCAAAATTTTTACCCTCTCCCCCCCCTTCATACCTCCGTTTCCCACCCCTTCCCTTCCCCTTTCACATTCCCCTCCCTCTTTCCCCCACACCTCACTCTCCCCCACGTTGTTACCGTTCCAATTCTATTTGTGGGGGCCGCGCTATTCTTTTCTCCACGCCCAATACGATTGCGCAATAATAGGATCCGCGTGAGGCCAAAGAAAACCTGAAATTAATAGGACGACTCACTTCTTCCGGAATCTGTATTGTTCCTCAAGGTAATCGAATCGGTTCTCAGTTGGAGTGGGGGTGAATCGGGGGTGGATTGGGAGGTTATTCGGGGATTGGAAGGGCTGTTGGGTGCTGTTTTTGATTTGATAAAGGGGTGTTTTGGCTGGTTTTAAGGGTAGGGTAGGGGTAGGGTCAGTTAGAGTAAGACAGAGTTGGGTAGGGTAGAGCAGGGTAAATTAGGGTAGAGTGAATCATAGTAGGGCAGATTAAGGGAATGGGGAGAGTGAGGGGAGGGGAGGTTAGGGTAGGGTAGGGCAAGGTAGAGTAGTGTAGGGAAAGATTGAGCGGAGGTAGGGTTGGCGGGGTAGGGTAGGGTAAGACAGGTGAAGGCGAGGTAGCTCAGGGCAGGGTAAAGCAGAGTCGAGTTGGGTAGGGTAGACAGAGAGAAGGGTGGATATAAAAAAAAATTTTTTAAAGGGCATGTCAAAATTTAAAAAAAATTTTAGGGGTGGTAAACTTTTCTTACTTTTTTTTTATTTTATGTTTATCCCTTCCCTCCCCCCCCCCTTTTTTTACACTCTTATTTACTACCACTGCCGCCTCTCTGCCCTCTCTCTGTCTCCACCGTCCCCCTCCCCCCCGCCCTATCCCAACCTATGAACAACATATTCATATTGCTCTGTAAAGGATCATAAACCTCTTGAAATCGTCGGAAATTTGTTTTTATCGTTTTGCCCATGCCTCTCATTCGCTCGCCCCTCCACTGACTCATCCAAGGTGCGGGCCCATCAAAACTCGTTCGTTTTTAGTTTTTTCTCGCTGTCCCGAGACTTATACGTAAACGAGGGAAGGGGGGTTGCGGGCGTGGTAATGTCTTTTGTAATGTTGGGCAGGGTTGGGGCAACAGATATTGAATTAGGCAGGGTTTAGGCAAAGGCATGGGCTTGAAATGTTAGTACAGGGCTACTTTTTATAAAAAGGCAAGACTATTTGGGGCATTTTTGAAAAAACATTGGGCGTGGTAATTTTTTTGAAAATTATTTTTAGGGGGTGTTTTACGAAAATTCCGAAAATTTTTTATTTTTTTAATCGAAAATTTTTTATTTTTTTTTAAATTAGGCATTAAAAAATTTAATTTTTTCAAAAAATTTTTAAGGGGTAATTTTTAATTTTTTTAAATTTTTTATTTTCTTGCATTTCTGTTTCCGTATTTTACCAGCCACCCTTAAAAATCAAAAATTTCAGTTCCAAGCCATGAGTAGCGCCGATTACGCCAACCAAATGATGTCCACATACACCGCCCCCGCCCTCAACTACCAACAATACTACGGAACGGGCTTGGGCAATGCTTCATTATACGGTCAAAATGCCTACGGTGCATACGCAGCAGACACTGTAGCCGCATTACAGCAGGCCAATGCGGCTTATAACTTTAATATTGGCCAATTGAATGACACCTCAGCTATTCCACAAAGCAGCTCGCCCTTGGAGGATGAGAGCTCCAGTTCGAGAAGGACTATTGGTCCTACACGGCGGGGTAGAAATCATGAAGATGGAATGGTCGCGTTGACTGAACAGGAGTTTGTGAGTTTTTTATTGTGTTACATAGGTGAGAAAAAGCTTAAAGTTAAGCTTAAATTTACAAAAGCATTAAAAAGAGGCCATATTAACATTGACTGCACCGTTCAAAAAGCCTCATAACTTTTGAATCACAAAACCGTTTTACAAAAATGGAGTACTTTTTGAAAGCCCAGATTCTGGAGACTATTTGGTGTCAAATTTGTTTTTAAAACTATGGTGTAAAAAGGTTTGGCGTATACCAAAATTTGACGTGAGCGAAAAAAGTTGTTTTTTTGACTGCACCATGCAAAAAGTGTCATAACTTTTGAACCACAAGATGTATTGACATTATTTACATATCATTAGAAAGCCAATACCCTATATTATGTTTAAGAATAAAATCGGTTTTAAAGTTTCAGTCAAAAAAGTTTTTGCACAATTTAAATGTTGCACTGAGCGAAAAAAAGTTGATTTTTTGACTACACCGTGCAAAAAGCCTCATAACTTTTGAACCACAAGATGTATTGACATTATTTATATATCATTAGAAAGCCAATACATTAGGCTATGTTCGAGATTAAAAACGTTTTTTACTTTTATTTCCAAAAAGGATTGGCACAATTTAAAAGTTGCGCTAAGCAAAAACAGTTGATTATTTGACTGCACCGTGCAAAAAGTCTCATGACTTTTGAACCGCAAAACCATTATACAAACTTTTAGTACTATATGAAAGCCAATACTGTACACTATATTTTAAATTAAAATCGATTTTTAATTTTACGTTTAAACAATTTTGGCACAAGTTTTATTTCTTTATTACTCTTCCGAAATTTTGACGTCATGTTTATTTACCTTAATAAACAATATCAAGATAACTTTTTTCAATGTTTACTTATTAAAAGTATTGTTTGTCAATCACTTTACAACTCTGATAATTTGTACAAACATTTGATAAGGGGACATGTTATACGGTGAACTGTTTCTAAAATAGGTGCAAATGTCCTACCGATATTTTGGTGGGACATTTGTACACAGGGCGTATTTTACAAAAAAAAGTTAATTATTTTCTTTTTTAAATTAAAACGTATTTTGTCATTAAATATTTAGGTAAAATTTAAAAAAATTAAAAATTTTTTGAAAAATTTTGGTCCCGGCACGAAAACATTTTTTGAAAGATTTTGAGCAATAATGGGGGTTTTATGACATTTTAACTAGTTTAAAACATAAAAAAGGTAAACTTATCACGTTTTTAAGACCAAAAAGTACTACCTTATAATAAAATTGGGTCTTGGCACGAAAACATTTTTCGTTAATTTTTGTTTAAAAATAGGTTTTGACTTTTTAACAAGTTTAAAACATAAGAAAGGTAAATTTATCTTGTTTTAAAGTACAAAAAATTACAATTTTGAAAAATCTGGGTCCTGGCACGAAAGCATTTTTCTCTAAAATTTGCTGAAAAAACATAAAAATTTCGCTTTTTAAGTCAAAAAACACTTTTTAAATTTAAATTTAATTTTTTAGTTGAAAATCCAAAGCAGTGCGACAGGAAACTACGGTACCCAGAAGCCACAGTACTCCTACATCTCCCTAATCTCATTAGCCATTCAACGAAGTCCGAACAAGCGTGCCACGCTGAGTGAGATCTACAACTTTATCATGGAGTACTTTCCCTACTACAAGAACCACCTGAACAAGTGTAGTTGGCAGAACTCGATCCGCCACTCGTTGAGCTTCAACGACTGCTTCATGAAGATCCCGAGGACGCCGGACAAGCCGGGTAAGGGCAGTTTCTGGACGTTGCACGAGCTGTGTGGTGACATGTTCGAGAATGGGTGCTACTTGCGGCGACAGAAGCGCTTCAAGTTGCCTGACAACAATAAGGACTCGCGACGTCGCAAGAATCGCAACAAGAACAATGAGCGACAAATGTATCAGCAACAACAGTCGATAGTCAAGACGGAGCATGAGGATGAGAACAGAATGGATGAGATGAAGATGATCAAGACCGAGGAACAGAATAACCAGGATCAGATGGGCAGTCCCAAAATGGAGGTGAGTATTACTGTATTTTTCGTTTTTACTGTTAGGCCAAAGTACCACTTTGAGGGCTACAGTAAAGCTACGGCTACAGTAGGGTTCAAGTTAAGACTGAGGGTTCGAGTTAGGCTAGAGCTTAGCTTGAGCTTGAGTTTGAGTTTGAGCTCGAGCGTAAGAATTGGTGCTCAGCCTTAGGCTAAGGCGTGGACTTGAGCATGACTATGAGCATGAGCATGAGCTTGAGCACGGTCATGAACATGAAAATGAACATGGACATGGACATGGACATGGACATGAAAATGAACATGGACATGGACATGAAGATGGACATGGAAATGAACATGGACATGGACATGGACATGGACATGAACATGGACATGAACATGAACATGAACATGAACATGAACATGAACATGAACATGGACATGAAATGAACATGAAAATGAACATGAAAATGAACATGAAAACAAACATGAGCATGAACATGAACATGAGCATGAGAATTAGCATGAGCGTCAGCATGTGCACGAGCATAAGCTGGAGCTTGAGGATGCACTTGACCTTGAGTCTGCGTCTGAACATGAGCTATTCTTGAGCATAGGGCTCTGGGCTAGAGCTCTGAGCTAGGGCTTGTAATAAGGTGGGTTATTGTATAATATGTTAATTTATATTCACTTTTTTTAGAACACTCTCCAACAGCCCATCCCAACCTCACTACCTACATCAATGTTGATCAACAACGGCCCCTCCCCTTCCTCAAATCCCTCCCAATCTCTAAATCAATCCGAAAACAGCTTCGAAATTCCGAATTCAATCCCAATGTCATCCCCATCCGACCAACAGACTACCGTAATCTCGTCGGTAGGCCAGTTCCCCATGCCAACCTACCAATACAATGGCTTCCCTAACGTATACTCGAATACGGCGGTCGATTTTCAAACCCAACAAGCGCTACAGAGCCTGGGCGGTGGTCAGAACTTTAGTGTAACTCAACTGGTCGATAATAACCTAGACTACTACTCGTCGTACGGTGGGCTTCTGAACAAACCCGGAGCCAACTACGCCTATTCACAACATACCGTTTATAGGTAAGGAGCATACTGTAGCTTTGCTTAGGTAAGAAAATTGTACTGTATTTTTGTTTAGGTAAGAAAAAATTGAGTTTAAAAGTTTTTGACGAAATGTAACAAATGTTATTGGAAAATGCGACAAAATGTCACAAAAAGCATTGGAAAATTAAAAACGTATTTTAAGCTTTTCTGAAACAGTTTTACTTATTTTTAAGTTTCCTATAGTTTTTGAACATTATTTTTAGTTTGCGACGAAATGTCACACAGTTATTGGAAAAAGTGACAAAATGTCACAAAAATTTTTAGGAAATTAAAAGTAACAACATCAATTAGCAATCGAAAGTTTTTACGATCGTATTTTACCTTTTCATTGATTTGACGAATTGCCACACACTTAGTAGTAACTGTATCGAAATGTCACAAAAACTATTGGTTTTTAAAAAAATCTTAAATTTTTATAAAAACTTTTTGAAATGCCATTTTTAATGTTCTAAACACTAATTTTACTTTATTTTCAGCTCGAACCATCCCGAATCCGAAGCCAACCTTTGATACCATCAACACTACAGTAACCTTCCCTACACCCCCTCTCTCCCATTGTACAGTGGTTTTAAGCCAGTATTCTTAATATTGTAATATTTGTGCCTTTTAATGTCATCGAGTTAAGTCATCGGTTATTTACAACATCAGTCTACAGTATGCCAGCTATTTTTGTGGAAAAAATTACAGTACGATATTGCGTTTTGTTTACAGTATGCCTACAGTATCTTATTTTTGCTTTTCAGTTTTTTCTTTTTTTGGTATTCTTATGTCTGGTACTATTATGTATGGTACTCATCTGAAAAGTACTCTTATTTATGGTACTCTTATGAATGATACTCTTATGTATGGTACTTTTATGTATGGTACTTATCTGGATAGTACTCTTATGTATGATACCCTTATGTATAGTACTCTTATGTATGGTACTCTTATAGATAGTACTCTTATGAATGGTACTCTTATGTATGGTACTTTTATGTATGGTACTCATCTGGATAGTACTCTTATGTATGGTGCTTACCTAGATAGCACTCTTATTTATGATACCTTTATGTATAGTACTCTTATGTATGGTATTCTTATAGATAGTACTTTTAGGAATGGTACTCTTGTGTATGGTACTATTATGTATGACACTCATCTCGGTAGTGCTCTTATGTATAGTACTCCTGTGTGTTTACTGTTATGTACCGTAGTATAATATATATGTACTCTTATGTATGGTACTCCTTTTTGATTCATTTTTCTATGTATGGTACTGTTTTAGTGGGTTATAAGTATTATTAGTACTATTTTCAGTACTTTCTTAAACTTCAGTACCATTTTTTGGTACCCTTTCAATTCTCAGTACCATCTCTTGATACTGCAACACTTCCAATGCTGTATGGTCTATTTAAAGCTGTATATGTTACTCTACTCTACTAATTTGCATAGTCGTTTCGAACATAATTGTGATTTGTCATCATTTTTTGGCCTCAATTCGAAAAAAGTTTTATTCTACCGTAATCCGAACAGTAATCCTTTATTAGCCGTGGATTGTGCAATTATTGGTCTAAATGCAATTTGATTATTAAATAAAAACATTATTAAAAGTTTTGAAGATTTTGTTTTGGAGAGAAAGTTTTTGCAATTTTAGGATTTGTAAAGAAAGATTTTGCCATTTTTTGTTTTGTAAAAAGAGTTCTTTCCATTTTTCGTTTTGTAAAGAAAGTTCTTGCAACTTTTGGATTTGTAAAGAAAGTTCTTGCCATTTTTGTTTTGTAATGAAAGTTTACGTCATTTTTTGTTTAACAAATATTTTTTTAGTTTTGCACAGTGCATCAATTATTTACGGCACCGTGCAGTCATTTAATGGTTGCACCATGCAGCTTATGTAATCTCCACTGTTGCACGGTGCAATGAATAAATGACTGCACAGTGCAGTCAAAAGTGATTGCACGGTGCAATTTCAAAACATAAAGGAAAAATTTGAATAGCTCTACTTTTCTTATTCTAACTATACGCACAGTGCAAAAAAGTCTTCAATATTTTATTTTAAAATTTTATTTAAATTTCACAAATTTTTGACAAAAAAAAATAAATCAAAACAAAACAAATGGCTTCAGAATTCCACGATGTTGGTGAGTATCGCCTGAAAATCAAAAAAAAATCATTAACTAAAAAATTTTAAAAAAAAGTTTTGATTTTTTTTCACGGAGCAAAGCTTGACAAAACTTTAATAAAAAAACATTTTTAAAATTTCACTGGGCGCAGCTTGGCAAAACTTAAAAAAACTCCTTTTTCGTTTTTCACTGGGCGCAGCTTGGCAAAACTGAAAAAAAATACAGTTTTGATTTTTTACTGGGCGCAGCTAGGCAAAACTAAAAAACACATTTTTGATTTTTTCCTGGACGCAGCTGCCAGCTCGGCCAAAAATGTACCTACCTGTTCAAGAACCCTATAAACTTTGCTCCAAGTATGCACTGAGCTTTCTTCAATAATCGGTTCACCTAATACTTGTGCTAGCATGCCAACCAGACCTTCCATAAAGGCTTTTCGGACCAAGGTTGGACAGACATTCATCACCAAACAGGTATTGACGAACTCACTCAGAATCGAGGGTAATTGGACAAAGCCATGCTCTACCGAGTAGTAATTTATCGTTATTTCTAGGGCCTGAAAATAACTTTTTTTAGCATAGCCCTAGCCCAGAGCCCTAGCCCTAGCATTTTTTAACCGTAGATTACTTCAGCCATGCCATGCCGTATAGTATCTATATCAAAAGCTTAGATGGGCATAACGTATTTTACCTTAGCATACTGAAACATGTGGTTTTAAACCTGCTCTTACCCGTATAATCTCAATAGAAAACTTTTTGAAATCAGCGTCTTCCTCCTTCAGATTCAATGTCATATCGATCTTGTACTTGTCCAGAAGCTCTTCGTAAGTCTAAAATAGCAATAACTTTCTTTACAAAACAAAAAATGGCAAGAACTTTCTTTACAAAACAAAAAATGACCAAAACTTTCTTTACGTTATAAAAAATGGCAAAAACTTTCTTTACAAAACAAAAAATGGCAAGAACTTTCTTTACAAAACAAAAAATGACCAAAACTTTCTTTACGTTATAAAAAATGGCAAAAACTTTCTTTACAAAACAAAAAATGGCAAGAACTTTCTTTCCACCCACCTGTAATGCTATCCTCGTACAAACTGCACCAGCCTTGTCCAACCCATACTCCTTTACCTGCCCCCACACCTTCTTGACATACTTCATCTCCAATGCTGTCACACATTGTACAAGATAGTTCCTTCTCTGATGTGCTATCCCAGCATTAATACTCTTTTTAACCATTATGAAGAATCTTGTCCAAGCACGAAGAAGATTCTCATCTGGAGCTTCGTTTGTATCAAATAGTACTGTTTTTAGGGCTTCTAATAGGGATTCTTGGAATAACTGAAAAGGTAAAATACGGATTTAATAGGTTTGATACCAAAATTTGGTTTTACCAGACCCTACCCTACTCTACCATACTTTACCTTGTTTTCAAGTAGGGTAGGGTGGTGTAGCGTAGGGTAGGCTACTGTACAGTATGTAAAGTAGGTCATTACTTGAAAATTAGTGGAAATATATTTGACCGTCTATATTATACACATTGTTTTTTAAATCCAAAAGCATTCCAAAATTTTAAAACTTCAGCCACATTTGCATGAGCTGAAAACAGTACCAACCTCAATTGGACTATAGTAAGTCAAAGGTGTAATATCTCTCCTTTTCTTATATCAAATCAAAAGTTGTCTTTTGACTGGGTTTCCCCGAAAACACAAAGAAAGCTCTCTCGCAAAGGAAGAGAGCTCCCTTCTTTTCTCTCTTTCTCTGACTGCTTCTCTTTTTGCGTTGGCTTCTCATTCTTTTTGAGGGTTTTTTGGTTTTATTGGGAATAAATAGAAATTTAGGTAATAATTTAATTTAAAATGACATTTCAAGTTTATTATAACATTTTTTGCATAAAAAATTTTTTAAAGTTTTTGAAAAATGTCTAAATTTTAAAAATTTGAAAGTTGAAATTTTTTTTAATTTTTAAAAATTAAAAAAATGTTTTTTTCAACTTAATAAATTCTAAATTTAAAAAAAATGCCATTCCAACCCACACCTACCTCCAAATGTGGTTCATAAGCGTCGTAATAGAAGTGATGTTGTCCTAGTTGATGTAAAAGCCTTGACACCCCATTATCTTCATCCAGATTGTCCATTATCATAGTAAAAGCGGCTTGAAGACTACTACAGTGATGTTTGAAGGTACTGTCCTTCTGGAGCTCCTCTTTCCAATTGTCATCCTTAATGTTCAGAGCTCGGCTGAACTGCCATACTGGTCGCATTTGGGGGTAGTTTCGTATCATATGAATGAAGACTTCTTGAATGACCGTGTGCTGTTGATTTTGCTTGTAGAGTTGAATCCAGTGGGCGCGAGCTGCGTTTAAGGAGTCGGATTGAATTTCTGAAAAAATATTTTATAGGGTAGGGCAGGGTAAAGTAGGGTAAGAGAGAGTACTATAATAGGGTAGGGCAGAGCAAAGCTAATCCAAACCAAGTCAAGCCAAGCCACGCTAAGCCAAGCCAAGCCAAGCCAAGCTAAGCTAAGCTAAGTTAAGCCAAGCCAAGCCAAGCCAAGCCAAGCCGAGTCTAGCCAAGCCAAGCCAAGCCAAGCCAAAATACTCCAAACTAGCTAGGCCACTCCGAGCTAGATCAAGCCAAGCCAAAGATAGGGCAAAGGCAAGACAAGCCAAGCCAGCAAGGGTGAGACAGGGTTATAACGTTTCTTACCATTTTTCAAAAACTCGTCCTCATCAAGCCTTAGGCCATTTAAATCAATTTCAGATTCCGAATGTAGCCTTAATGGAGGTAACGGACTCCTAGCTCTTCTGCCAGGTGTAATATCAGATGATGGGTCAAGTGTACCATTTGGCATATTAATAAATGATTTCTGTAGTTTATCGTCACTATCAATTGATGGTATCCTCAGTACTGTATTTTCAGAAAATGTGGATGAAGATGAGTCTGAACGGGTGTTCAACTCGTGGATGTCAATCGAGTTGTCACGGAGGAACTGAAATGACATTTTTTAGTTAATAAGATAGTGTTGGGCTAAGATCTGGGCTAGGGCTAGAGTTAAAGCTAAAGTTAAACTTAAGCCTAAAGCTAAGCGTAAAAAGCAAACAGCCTAAGCCTAAAAGCCAAGGCATGCGTTCTAGCACTAGGGCTAAACCTAGGGTTAAATCTTAGGCTACAACGAGGGGTGCGGCTAAGAGTTAAGCAAAGACAAAGTAAAAATTTATATTTTTTAAGTCTAATGAAAAATGACCAAAAAGCCACTTTTAGTCTATAACAGACCCCTCTAAAGCTAGTAATACATGAGCCAGTTAAAGCTCTTAATTTTTTATTCTTAAATAGCGTGACAACCTTGGATGAGGTCAGCATAATTATACCTAATTTGTTTATAACAATTTTTAAGTTTTTAAAAATCTTTATCAAAAAGTTTTTTTTTAATTTTTACGCTTGAATGTTAGCCCGCCTGATCGAGATTTTGCACTAGCCCGGCTGAGCTTAAATTTTTTTTACGAGCAAACGGGCCGGACCTGAAAATGAAAATCAACGCCCGGCCCGTTCCTCATGTCTAGTACGGTGAAATACGGTCAGGCTCGACCCGTTCCTCTGTATAGTAACAGTCAGGGCCGGGCGCGAGGGGGGGGGGACGGAGGGGGGGGGGCGGGTACCCCCCCCTCCCCCCCCTAAAAAAAATTTTTTGAAAAAATTTGAACGTGGTCCCCCTGTGAATTTTTTGGAAAAAAATTTTTGCGAAAAATCGGCACAGGTAGCACCGATTTTTTGGACTCTTGCCCCCAGACCAAAAGTCCCCGCTCGGCCCTGGTAACAGTGTGGTACGGCCAGGCTTGGACGCAGGGCAGTGTGCCTTGTATCATGCCCTGTACCAAGCCCTGCAGGACAAGAGCATGGTAGGGCAAGAAAGTCGAATGCCCTGTACAGGGCAGGGCTTTGCAGAGTACAGGGCATGGAAATTTATCAATGCTCTGTTTTGTGTCCAAGCCTGGGTACAGCAGAATGATATTTTGCTATCCGCCCAACCACAATGATCAGGCATTCCAAAATTTTTTCATATTCAGCCACGACGCCAAACCGAGCTGAATAAACTACTAACCTTTTTGGAAGTAGATACTTCGAAGAATATAAACCTTTTCAGCTTTAGTTATAAAAGAGAAACTTGCGTTTTGATTAGGTTTTCCAAAAGGGCGAGAGAGAAGAGACAAGAGGGGGAGTGGTAGAGAAAAAGAGTAAAATAAGGGAAAACATGTTTTTTAAAATAGGGTTTATAAAAATGATTTATTTTTTTTTGTAAAATACGCGGTTAACCATCTTAAATTTTAAAAAATAATTGAGGGTCTTTAAATTTTTTTATAACGACACAATTGTCTACAAAATTTTTTAAAAATTGTAAACAATTTTTTAAAATTAAAAAAAATTAAACTAACATTAAGTTTGGTACATCATAAACTAAAAAGATATCAAAATCTGGACGCTATACAAAAGAGAAACGGGCCGGGCTTGAAAATTGGGCCCGGCCCGTTTCTCATGTCTATATATAAAAATAACTTTTACAAGTAATAATATTATTAAATACAGTGGTCTCTCTATATAGTGAACCATCTGTATAAGAAACTCTCCTTATAGTAAACCAGAAATTTGACCCCGCCAAGTCAATTTTTACTAAAAAGTCCCTTTGTAAAGACAACACCCCCAACAGTAAATACAAAATGTCGGTCCCTGCGGGTTGCTTATACAGAGAGAGTACTGTAGTTAATGAAAAATAGCCCTTTTCAATCCTTCTTCTACCCTCTTTTCTCTACCACGACCCTTTGTTCTCTTCTCTCTCGCTCTGTCGATAACCCAATCAAAAAGCAAATTTATCTTTTATAACTAGGACTAAAAGCTTTGTGTTATTTGAAGTATCTACTTCCAAAAAAGGTTGGTAGTTTATTCAGCTCGCTTTTGGCGTGGCCGGGTATGAAAAAAATTTTGGAATGCCTGGCCAGTATGGTTGGGCGCATAAAAAATATCATTAGGGGGGTTTGGGTACAGGGCATTCGTTTTTCATGCTCTGCAGGGCATGGCTCTAGTCCGTCAGCCTTAGCCGCTTAGACTAGCTTCTCAGTCTTAGCCTTTTATTTGTAGCTTCTCAGCCCTAGCCTCAGCCCTAATTCTTAGTTTGGTCTATTTTTGCCGTGTACTGTATATAATCTACTAATGCCTTACCCATGGTACAGGGCCCTGTACCATGCCCTGCAGGGCACTTTGCAATGCGTCCAAGCCTGACCGTACCGCACTGTACTAAACAAGTGCCGACATAAAGAAACCGCCATTTTTACAGGCAAAGTATGGCGGGTTCTTTATGTCGGCACCTAAAATTTTATAATTCTACGCCACTATATCCTACTTGTATCTACATTACTTTAACTTACAATATTATACCCTTCCTTGCTCTACATTGCCCTACCCCATCCTTTCCTACCCTGTAATAAACCCCCCCCTCCCCCAAAAAAAAATTTTTAAAAAAGCTGAACGTGGTCTCCCCCCCGTGGATTTTTTGGACTCCCACGCCAAAATTCTCCGCGCGGCCCTGTTATCTACTTTGCAATACTTTACTATAGCCTACCCTGCCTCCATTTTTTAGGTATAAAACTACATTTTTTCGAATTTAAAACTTACTTCTTCCATTTTTTCGCACTAACAATATCAAAAATGACAATAAAACTGGTAATACGCCTTTTTTCCACTTATTTCAGCCTTTAGGCTATAAAAACAAAGGTATGTTAGTATGTAGTGAATGCGTTAAAGTAACAACTATGCTCGTTAGGTATTTTAGGTAACAATTACTGACAATCCAAACAAACAATTACACTTTTGGATCGTTATTTCAAGCTTCAATTACACTTTTAATCGCAATTTTAGAACGTCACTAATATAGAATGGCAACTATAGTACTGGTGCGCTTTTAGTAGTACTGTAGGGCCGGTTACAATAATTTAGACGGTACTGTAAGTAGAGTACTGTATATATTTTTAGTAGTACTATATCTTTTTTCTACAGTACTATAAATGATACTGTATAGCACTACATATAGTACTGTGTATAGTACTATACTATAAGCGCTGTGTAGTACTGATACAGGTACTAGTACTATAAAAAACTAAATCAATTTTTAGCACAGCAAAAATCAATCTACAGTAATATTAATATGCAGTACTATAGAGTACGTACTGAGCATAAAAATAGTACCAAAAGTACAAATAGTAGTAGTTGTAACTTTTTGATAGGACGTTACAATTTAAAAACAGCACGAGTCAATTAATTTTTCAAAATGTATGAAATTGGGCCCGCTTTAAGCTTAATCTCCCCCCCCTCCCCGTCCCTTACCTGAAGATAGTCGTAATACATCCTAAAGACGTCAAACGGAAATCGAACAACTTTCAAAAGCCATGCAAATCCTGGAATTTTAAATTTAATCACTTTTAAACATCCATATAACGATGTTTTAAGGGTGTCTGAGGTGGAGAAGGGGGGGGGGAAGGGGGGTGGGGAGGGGAGAGAGGTATGCATAGGTTTATGTCGTGACACATTCAATTTTAGGGGTTTTATGTTGATACTGTACTTATATTGTTACATAATAAAGTAGGGCGAGGGTAAGGGTACGGCAACGAATTAAACAAGGGTGTAACACGGCTGGGGTAGAGCAAAAAGTGTAACAATATCAAGAAGAGTATGGCAAGAATAAGGCAAAGGTAATGGTATAGATGGGTAGGAGAAGAGCATGGGTAGGCCAAAATGTAGGTAAAGCAAAGTTACTAACTGCCGACATAAAGAACCCGCCATTTTTACAAGAAATTACAGAAAATGTATGGCGGGTTCTTTATGTCGGCACCTAATGGAACAACGGCAGAGTAATTATAAAATAAAGAAAAGCTTAAGGTAGAATAAAAGTAGGGCTTAGGAAGGACAATGATAGGGTTAAGTAGGACAAGGCTTGAGTAATGCAAGAAGTAAAGCAAAAGTAGGGCATGGGCAAGGCTGAAACAGAGCGAAGGTAGGGAAAAGTAAGACATTGGCAAGGCAAGGATAAGTCAAGGGTACGGCAATGGTAAGAAAAGGCTAGGGCTCTGGGCTAGGGCTCTGGGCTAGGGCTCTGGGCTAGGGCTCTGGGCTAGGGCTCTGGGCTAGGGCGTGTGCTGCGGCTTTACAAAACAAGATATAGCAAAAACTTTGTTTACAAAATTAAAAATAAAAAACTTTTTATAAAGTAAAAGATTTTTTTAAAAAGCTATGAAATTTCAATAATTAAAACAAAATAAAATTTTTTAAAATTATTTTATGCCCCTCCCCCCCCCCCCACTTCCATATATTCACCATATAACCCTTACTTAAAGTAATACCACAAAAAACTTCAAAATTAGCCAAATTTCAATTAGCTAATGAATTCGTACTAACTTTTCAGTCGTTATTAACCCCGAAGCGGCGTGGATTTGGTTGTTGTAAAAAGTGTAAAAGAGGATTTACTTTACTCTTTTTCACAACATGTTACCTAAAATCCGCCGAAAGTACTCTTTTTCACGGACTTTTTGGAAATTTGTTTACTTTTAGGTATGAAATTTTGAAAATTTCTTAATTTTTTGTTTTGCCTGACTTGTATGTTGCCCTACCCTACCCTACTCTACCCTACCCTACCCTACCCTACCCTACCCTACCCTACCCTACCCTACCCTACCCTACCCTACCCTACCCTACCCTACCCTAACCTAAATAAAAAAATGGTACCCCGCCCCAAAAATTTCACTACGCCTACCCTACGCAAGTTTTTTTACCATTCCCAAAAAATTTACCCTGCCCAAAAAAATTACCCTACCCAAAAAATTTATCAAGCCCAAAACATTTACCATGCCCAAAAAATTTACCCTGTCCAAAACCTTTACCATGTCCAAAAAATTTATCAAAAATTTACCGTGCCAAAAAATTTTATCCTGCCTCAAACATTTACTATGCTCAAAAAATTTACCGTGCCAAAAAAATTTACCATGCCCGAAAATTTTACCATGCCAAAAAAATTTACCATGTCCAAAAATTTTACCATGCCCAGAACATTTACCATGCCCAAAAAGTTTACCATGCCCATAAAATTTACCCTGCCAAATCTTTCACCTTCTAACCTTTCTTACCCTCTCCTAACTTATGCTTTTGCCCTGCCCTACTTTTGCTATGTGGCCATACCTTAATTATTATCTCTCTCTGTACTCTTTCTCTAAACCACAGTAAAAAATGGTATACTATAGTAAAAACAATAGTTTAATACTATTTAATAACACTATGTTAAGTACTAAAGAACACGGTTTACATATGTTACACATTGGCTATCTTGAAGTACTCAGCAAAGTCTATTAAACCATTTTTGTCACCATCCATCTCCTCCAACACTGGGTCGATCAAGCGTTCTATGTCAGTGTCAGGTATACCTCTGGCAAACGTATTGTCCTTTTCATCATCGTGGAAGATGGCCTGAAATTGTACTTATAAATGTAAGCCTAGCCTTAGTCTTAACTCTAGCCTTACTTTTAGTATTTAGCATTAACCATAGCTAAAGTTATAAGTCTAGTTTTAGCCCTAAGCTCTAGCATCAGCTTTAGCTTAAGGCTAAGTCTAAGGCGAAGCCTAATACAAAGCCTAAGCCTTAGCCTTAGTCTTAGCCTTAGCCTTCGTATTAGTCTTAGCCTTAGCCTAAACCTTAGCCTTAGCGTTAGCGTTAGCGTTAGCGTTAGCGTTAGCCTTAGCCTTAGCCTTAGCCTGAGCCTTAGCCTTCGTATTAGTCTTAGCCTTAGCCTTAGCCTAAACCTTAGCCTTAGCCTGAGCCTTAGCCTTCGTATTAGTCTTAGCCTTAGCCTTAGCCTAAACCTTAGCCTTAGCGTTAGCGTTAGCGTTAGCGTTAGCGTTAGCGTTAGCCTTAGCCTTAGCCTTAGCCTTAGCCTTAGCCTTAGCCTTAGCCTTAGCCTTAGCCTTAGCCTTAGTCTTAGCCTTAGCCTTAGCCTTAGTCTTAGCCTTAGCCTTAGCCTTAGGTTTACCCAATTCCAGCTCTATCTTACCCTATCTACCCTACACCTCTCCTCTCTCCTCACTACCTTACACTAATTTGCCTTAACTTAGCTTACCATACATTAATAAAAATTACAAAAAAACTCACCGCCATCAACTCCAGTCCATCAATAAAGTTATCCTTGTTCAAGTCGTGCATCTTAAAGTAGTGAAACCTCTTTTGTTCTTCAGACAGTTTCGAGTCGTCTATGTCAATTTGGTCTCCAAGATGATGTTTTAAGTGTCTGAAATCACACGAAATTAAAGTTGTTGGTTTCATTTTTTACTTATCCGTAGACTTATCTTTAAACTTAAGCTAGGCCTAAGGAGGAGGAGGCTTAGACATAAGCCTAAGGCCAAGGCTAAGAGTTGTGCCTTGTGGATCAAGCTTAAAAATTCTAAATCAATAAAAATAAGCTAAAAACTTACTCAACGTCACCGATTTCATCCCTTGTACCAAATTTGTGTTCTATAAATAATGGCATTAAAGTTTTTTCGTAAAAATTTTTAAAATTCAAAATTTTTTTTTTTGTTTTCAAATAATTAAATACTTTTAAATTTTATTTTAATACCTAAAATATCATAGAACAGTCAAAAACTTACCGCTAGCACTACATAAACTACCTAACACAACAAGTACTACAACAATATGTGCTATATTATAGTAGATCATTGTTCCATTTATTCAAAAAATTTTCTTAATTTTTTTTGTTCAGGCTTAGGCTTAGACTTAGGTTTAAGTTTACGTTTATGCTAACTGATATTTTATTTAAAAAGCAAGATTACAAATTTTAAAGTCAATATTTTAAATTGTATGAATAAATAAAGGGCTTAAAACCGCCAAAAAAGTTTTTATTTAAATCAAACTGCAAAGCCTTTAAGCGACGTGGGCTTATCAGCCAAATGTTTGCTCAATAAAATAACACAATTTATAGAAAACGGTTTAATGTTACTGTTTCTTGTTATTTTATATTGCTTTTGATTGTTTTTTATCGTTGTAGTGGAGTCGTATTGTTAGCTTTACATATATATTTCTAATTATTAGTCTGGTTTGGAAAAATAGATCTAGCCTTAGTATATCCTTAGAAGGCTTTTTTAAACTAGGCCATTAGGCTTAGGCTTAGTGGGCTTAGGCTTAGTAGGCTTAGGTTTAGTAGGTAGACTTAAGCTTATTAGGCTTAGGATTAGTAGTCTTAGGCTTAGCAGGCTTAGGCTTAGTAGGCTTAGGCTTAGTAGTCTTAAGCTTAGCAGGCTTAGGCTTAGTAGGCTTAGGCTTAGTAGGCTTAGGGTTAGTAAGTTTAGGCTTAGTAGGTTTGGGCTTAGTAGGCTTAGCCTTTGTAGGTTTAGGCTTAATAGGTTTAGGCATATTGTTAAAGTAGGCTTAAGCTTAGGAAGCTTAAACTTAGTAGGCTTAGGATTAGTAGGCTTAAGCTTAGTAGGCTTAGGCTTAGTAGGCTTAGTAGGTTTAGGCTTAATAAGCGTATGCTTGAAATTAAGCTTAAACTAAACTTAGTCATTAGCCGAAGCAAGCTTACGCAACTACTATACCATACCGTATTCCAGCCTAGCCTACCCTATCATACTCTACCCTGCCCTATGCTACCCTACCCTATCATACTCTACCCTGTCCTATGCTGCCCTACCCTATCATATTCTATTCTGCCCTATGCTACCCTACCCTATCATACTCTACCCTGTCCTATGCTACCCTTCCCTACCCGACCCTTTCCTACCCTACTCTTCCCCACCCTATTCAAAAACAAAGTTTCAAAGTAATATTTATTATAAACTAAAATATATAGATTTGGAAAGACAGTACGGTACATATTATATAGTACAATAAGTATATAGGGCTAATCGGTTGGTATAGGAAGGAAATGATAGAGCTTTATAAAATACAATTATCACGTCACATGGTAAATGCTATAAGAAATTGAGTACAAATTACAAATTTTACAAAAAAAAATTCGATGATCAAATTTTGGGCGTGGTAAGTCTAAAAATTTTTAAAAATTTCAAAAAATTTTAAAAATAAAAAAAAAATTTTAGAATAAAATAAATTTAAAAAACAGTGTATTTTAATTCCATTTTACCGTTAAAACGTTTAAAACATCAAAAATCAGACTTTGATCGGACATGTTATATCGTATAACATAGTCAGCGCAGGCTGCACATGTCAAAATACTTCTTTTTTAACAGTTTAAATAATAAAAAATGAAAATTTTAGTGTAAATACGAATGAACTAGCCTTAAATAAAACTTTTTTTAAGCAGGTGTCATTCGGACATGTCTCATCGTATAAAATTGCCAGCGCAGGCTGCACACGCCAAAAAAGTTGATTTTTACGAATTTTAACGGTAAAAAATGGAAAATAAAAATGAAGTAAACCCAAAATAAAAAAAACTTTAAATAAAAAATTCAAAAAATTTTGAAAAAATTCAAGATTTCAGTATAATATACATTCCTGAGTCATAGTAAGGTGGATATATGATAAATTTCGAGAGGTTTGGTGGCTGAAAAAAGATAACTTTGACCAATTTTAGTTGATAAAAAGAAGAGGTTTAAAGATATTGTAAAGTAAAATACGAAAACCAACATTTAGCGTTAAAAAATCAAAAATATTACCTAAAATTGACTAAAAATGACCAAAAAAGACCGAAAAAAGGCTAAAAATACTAAAATACAGTAAGATTTTTACAGAAAAATGCCAAAATATTTTTTGATAATGTAATGTAAAATACAATAAAAACAAAAAAAAGAAGTAAAAAGAGATATAAAGGTTGAAAAAGGCTTGGCAAACCAATATTATCCTTGAGCATTGACCCAGCCTTGGTTGTTGAACGCATGTGGACCATTGAGTTCGTGTTGCAAGTTCTAAAATACGTAAAATTAGCTAGATTTTGTAAAATACGAACAATATCTTGATTTTTAGTTTTGGACACGTCTCATCGTATAACATGTCTCTCGCAGGCTGCAAAAGCCAAATTTTCGCAAAAACGCTTAAAATGTGATTAAAACAGATACGAAAAAGCATTTTTTATCAATAGAACAAATTTTTAAACATTTTCAAAAACCGCAAGAATTTTATTCCCAGCTAACTGGAGACATGTTTCATCGTATAACCTGTCGCTCGCAGGCTGCAAAAGCAAAATTTTTGTAAAAAAAAAGCTTAAGATGTGATTAAAACAGAAATGAAAAAGTATTCTTTGAAATAACAAAAATTTTTAGACTTTTCCAAAAACCGCACGCACTTTCCTTCCAAATCACTTTAGACATGTTTCATCGTATAACATGTCTCCCGCAGGTTGCATGAGCCGTATTTTCTTTAAAAAACGCTTAAAGCGTGCTTAAAAACAACAAACAACGTGATTTTCAACAAGATTTTAAATTTTTAAACACTTTCAAAAACCGCAACAACTTTCTTTCCAACCTACCTGATTCAACGTTGGAGTATTGACATTCTGATTCTCGGGCTGCCAGCCGGTTTGCTGATCCCATTGCATTCGGCCTTGATTCGTGTTGAGTTGCATCGGGACTGCGCCATTATTCTGCCCGAATTGACCGTTCTGTGAATTGAAATTGGGCGGGTTCGAGTCAATGTTACGTGCCGTGAAAGGGATCTGTGATTGTGATGGGTTAAAGGCCTAGAACAATATCAAGGTGAGGGTGGATAGTGTTGTTTTGTTAATGAAAAAATGGTCTTATCACTTTAAAAAATGTTCAAAAGATTAGAAAATTTTATTTTTCGTGCAGTTTTTTACCTAAATCGCTCAAATTTTTGATTTTTCGTTAAATTTTTAAACTTTTTTTTAACAATTTTAAAAACCGCAAGAACTTTCTTTACAGCCAAAAATATTTTTTAACTATTAAAAACCTACTTAAAATGATATTTTTAAGCCTAAAATAACATTTTTTTGTCATTTTTTAAATTAATTTTTGACTTTTTAGAAAAACCACAAAAACTTTCTTTCCAGCCAAAAATATTTTTCAAATTTTAAGAAATCTACTTACAAGTGACGTTCATAAGCCTAAAATTTCATTTTTTGTAATTTTTTACAAAATTTTTGACTTTTTTAAAAAACCGCAATAACTTTCTTTCCACCTCAAAAATACCTTTTCATTTTGAAAAACCTGCTTAAAATGCCATTTATAAGCCTAAACTGCCATTTTTCGTCATTTTTTTCAAAACTTTCAATTTTCAAAAACCGCGATAACTTTCTTTCCACCCCAAAATTCAATTTTTTATCAATAATTTCGACTAAAAAAGCCTTACCTGTCCATTATTATTGTTGTTTTGTTGATTGAATAGCTGAGACGGAGTTTGTGGGGTTCTGTTATCATTTCCAAACAGGTTTTGACCCCACTGATTGGCATTTGCTTGAAGGTTTTGGACTGCTTCGCTCGAGAAGTTGGCTATTTGACCTGGAAAATTTTTAAGATTAAAAAAATTTAAAATAAAAAAAAATTTTTTCGAAAATTCATTTTAATTTTGAACTTATTTAGTACCAAGTGTACCAGTAGTACCATTAAGGGTTATAGTACTACTGATAGACTCAATACGCTTACCCTACCCTACCCTACTCTACCCTACCCTACTTTACCTTACCCTGCCCTACCCTTTCCTGCTCCACCCTACCTTATCTTATTTTATCCTGCCCAACTCTACCGTACCCACCTTGGCCTACCCTACCTCAAAATACCCTACCATACCGTACCCTACCCTAACATCTATTTTACCCCGCCCTATCAAGCAAGTACCAAAAGTCCCACCATTCCCTAACACAAAGCCCCAATAGCCCCACTCCTCACCTGGTACTTGTTTCAAGTTGATCCATTGGCTTTCGGCCGCGTCCCCAATAGCACTGCCAACCCTTTGCACGGTCGGGTTCTGAGCTACAGCCTGTCCAAGTTGTCCAATTCCTTGGCCAATTTGGTTAATGCCTCCGGACAAGCTACTTCCTCCACCGCCATTTTGTCCAAACTGTCCGTTCTGGTTATTCTGTCCAAATTGTCCGTTTTGCCCAAATTGGCCATTTTGTCCAAACTGATTATTCTGGCCAAATTGACCGTTCTGATTACGACTGTTTTGTCCGAATTGCCCATTTTGTCCAAATTGTCCATTCTGTCCGAATTGCCCGCTTTGTCCGCCTTGGCTTCCGAATTGACCGGCCTGATTGACAAACTGACCGTTTTGTCCAAATTGTCCACCAATTTGATTGTTTTGTCCGAATTGACCTTGCCCAACTCTTGCCTGATTCATCGACTGTAAAGAGGAGGTGGGGTGGGGTGAATTTAATAACTGTGAGAGCGGTACATTGGCTGGGAGCGGCGATTGGGATGGGGATTGGAACTAAAACAAGCTGGGTAGATATGATGTGAGATTATAGGAGAGGAAGAGCAATGGTTAGGTAATGTATACACTCAAAAATAGGCATTAAAAAGAGAAATGACAGTATTAGTAAGTAGGCTTGAGCCCCCAGACCAAAAGTCCCCGCCCGGCACTGAGCGTAGCCCTATTAGGCTTAGAAAAAATAAGCTTAGGTTACTGTACCTCGTACTACCCTACCTTGCTCTATCCTACCTTACCCTACTCTACCCTACCCTGCCTTACCCTACCCTACGGTTCAAGTTGCTGCCATTTGCCTACAGTATGCCTTTTTCAAACAATACTGACAGGTCAATAAGTATCAAGCCGTACGTACACGTCCTAATTTTACATTACCCTTCTTAGCATTCCATACCTTATTTTACCATACTCTATCGAACTCTACCATACCATACCATAAACTACCCTACCCTAATAGGTGCCCTGCTCTACGTTACTTCATATCCTAACCAAAAAATAATTGATGAAATGTAAGAAGAACAAGAAGAAGAAAAATTAGAACAAAAAGAAGAATACAAGAAAGAATAAGCTGAAGAAGAAGGTGAATAACAAGAAAAAAGAAAATTAAAAAAAGATTAATAAGAAGAAGCAAAGAAACAAGATGAGGAAGAAGAAGAAAAAGCAAAAAACATATAATAAGAAGAAAGAAGAAAAGAAAGAAGATGAACAGGAAAAAGAAGAACAAATGACAATCAAAGAGGGGGTAAAGTGAAGCTCCGCACCAATGTTAAGCACGCCCAAAAACGGCCATAAAAATTTTTAGAAATAACAAACAAAATTATGAAATTAATTTTTAGAAACTACAGTATCCTCAATACGATAACAATTTAAAATTTCAAAATCTTCAAACCAAAGCCTTATAAAAACTGGCATTCCACCCCTACCTGAGCATTGTTGATCTGTTGAGCGGCGGCGAAGCCCTTCCATTGAGGAACAAAGAAGTAGAAACAGTCTCTCTGCTTGATATTAAGGTAGTTCTGTTGCCTCAAATTGTCGTATTCGATAAAATAGTGGGGGATGCAAAAGTCCATGCATTCGGCACAGCGGACGCCTGAAAATGGTATTGTTGGTCTTGTTTTTGAAAAAATTTCGTAAAATCCTCATTTTTGAAAGCTGCTGCCTGCAGGTGACAAGTTATACGACGAGTATGAATAATTATATCTTTTTTGACTTTGTAAACAAAGTTCTTGTCATTTTCTGTTTTGTAAAGAAAGTTCTTGCCATTTTTTAGTTTGTAAAGAAAATTTATGCAATTTTATCGTAAAAAACCACATTTTATACACGGCTGCCTGCAGGTGACAAGTCATACGATGAATTATAAAAATTTTGAAAGTTCTCGATTTGTAAAGAAAGTTCTTGCCATATTTCAATTTGTAAAGAAAGTTCTTGCCATTTTTTGCTTTTTAAGGAAAGTTCTTGCAATTTTATCTTTTGTGAAGAAAGTTCTTGCCATATTTCAATTTGTAAAGAAAATTCTTGCAATTTCTCGCCTTGTAAAGAAAGTTCTTGCCATATTTTATTAAAATTCTTACTCTTCTGATTACTGTTTGTCCTGACCAACTCAACCCATCTAGCTCCGCGACATTCAGCTGGTTCAGGTGTCAAAAGTTGTGTCGATAGCTGAGGATTCGAAATAGGAATGGCATTTAATGTCCACACCTCTTTCCAGCCATTCTTTTGCTCGACTTTCTGAAAAATATTGTAAAATACGAAGTTTGTTTCTATTGGCGGTTAAGAAATCAATAATTAGGCTTTTTTTGCTTTGTAAAGAAAGTTCTTGCCATTTTTTGCTCTGTAAATAAAGTTCTTGACATTTTTTGCTTTGTAAAGAAAGTTCTTGCAATTTCTTGTCTTGTAAAGAAAGTTTTTGCCATTTTTTTTAAATTTCGTGTCAAAAAACTCACGTTAGCCCCAGTCCTGGCGGCACGTTGGAAATGTTCCAATGAAGAAATGTCGTTTTGATCCAAATTCATGACAAAGCAAATTTGCTCGCCTCCGCTAGCGCGGAGAGACGTGTCCACTATGGCAATTTTTTTCTAAAAAAAACGTCAGTTTAAAAATTTAAAGCAAAATTACAAATTTAAAAAAAAATTCTTAAAAACTTCAAATGGTAAGCCTAACATACAAATTTTAAGCCTAAAACCTAATTTAAGCCTAATAGGCAAACCTTAAACCCAACACTTTTTATTTTAAGCCTAAATTTCAAATTTAAGCCTAAAAATCGGATTTTAAGGCTAAACTCTAATTTTAAGCTTAAAAGCCTGCGTATAAGCCTAAAAGTCAGAGCTTAAGCCTAAAAGTCAAATTTAAAGTCTAAAACTCAGTTTTAAGCCTAAAAGACAGAGTTTAAGCCTAAAAGTCAGATTTTAAACCAAAAATCAAATTTAAGCCTTATACGTTAATTTTTAACCTAAAAGTCAAATTGTCAACATAAAAATCATATTTTAAGCCAAAAAATCATATTTGAAGCCTACAATCTAACTTTAAGCCTAAAATTAAGATTATAAGCCTAAATTCAAATTTCAACCCTAAAATTAAATTTAAGCCTATAACCAAACTTTAAGCCTAAATTTTTCAAAAACCAACCGTTCTAAAGTCTAAAAAGCTAATGTAATTCGAAGTGAATGGGACAGATCCCTTCTGCTCCAATCGAACTTGTTGATCTGCAACTTGCATATGAAACTCATTTGGATTCTCATTATGATGCCGCTCCAAGGGTGGGGCCATCCAGGTCCAGCTGAGGTTCTAGAAATGATATTTTAAGTATAATACGATGTTAAATCTAACGTATTTTACATAACCCATACCCTACCCCAACCCCTACCTCTACCCATTTTCCCACCCCTCCGCCTACCCCTACCCATTTTCCTACCCCTACCCCTACCTCTACCCATTTTCCCACCCCTCCCCCTACCCCTACCCATTTTCCTACCCCTACTCCTACCCCTACCCCTCCCCTACCCTACCCTACCCAAAAGTTTTACCCTGCCCTCCACCCAAAATATTAACTTTGCGCCTATCCCTACACAAAACTTCTACTTTACCCCTCCCCCCCCGATCCCATCAGAATTGCACTCCTACCCCTACCCAAAATAAAAAAACCTTACAGTAGGCAAAGCCAGCATCCGAGTCAGAAAAACAGCCAGAATAACAAGTCCAATCAGTATGACCAAGATGGCTAGACAACAAAATTTGCTGCTAGGCTTGGCCCAGCAATTCCTCAAATCTTGCATTTTGTTCTTCTTCTTGACCGGTCCCTTGCCTCCGCCTTCGATCATCGTTGAGCCGCCGATCGGCTGAAGGACTTCGGAGGGAGGGCGCGAGCCGAGGGGCGGCATCGCCGGCCCCGGTGTGTGCTGTGGCGGCCGAATGTTGACTGGATTCTTGGTCTGAAACTAAAATTTGATTAATTTAGCCTAACCAAAATAAGCATACTAAACGCAATGTGTACTTAGTAGGCTTAGGCTTAGTAGGCTTAGGCTTAGTAAGCTTAGGCTTAGTAGGCTTAGGCTTAGTAGGCTTAGGCTTAGTAGGCTTAGGCTTAGTAGGCTTAGGCTTAGTAGGCTTAGGCTTAGTAGGCTTAGGCTTAGTAGGCTTAGGCTTAGTAGGCTTAGGCTTAGTAGGCTTAGGCTTAGTAGGCTTAGGCTTAGTAGGCTTAGGCTTAGTAGGCTTAGGCTTAGTAGGCTTAGGCTTAGTAGGCTTAGGCTTAGTAGGCTTAGGCTTAGTAGGCTTAGGCTTAGTAGGCTTAGGCTTAGTAGGCTTAGGCTTAGTAGGCTTAGGCTTAGTAGGCTTAGGCTTAGTAGGCTTAGGCTTAGTAGGCTTAGGCTTAGTAGGCTTAGGCTTAGTAGGCTTAGGCTTAGTAGGCTTAGGCTTAGTAGGCTTAGGCTTAGTAGGCTTAGGCTTAGTAGGCTTAGGCTTAGTAGGCTTAGGCTTAGTAGGCTTAGGCTTAGTAGGCTTAGGCTTAGGCTTAGTAGGCTTAGGCTTAGTAGGCTTAGGCTTAGTAGGCTTAGGCTTAGTAGGCTTAGGCTTAGTAGGCTTAGGCTTAGTAGGCTTAGGCTTAGTAGGCTTAGGCTTAGTAGGCTTAGGCTTAGTAGGCTTAGGCTTAGTAGGCTTAGGCTTAGTAGGCTTAGGCTTAGTAGGCTTAGGCTTAGTAGGCTTAGGCTTAGTAGGCTTAGGCTTAGTAGGCTTAGGCTTAGTAGGCTTAGGCTTAGTAGGCTTAGGCTTAGTAGGCTTAGGCTTACAACGTTAATGTTTAACAGCCTAAAGCGTATCGCCCTTCAATTATCATGCCACCCTACTCCGTTTTGTCTTTCCATGCATCACCCTACTTTCTCTACCCTGCCTTACTTTACCCTACCCTACCTTACTTTACCCCAGCCTACCCTATGAGATCCTCCTTTGTAGCAACCTCATCACTCAACAACAATTTAAAAAAATTCTTTACTACCTCACCCCCTACCCATCTCTCTCCAAAAAAAAACGTTTTAAAAATGCAAAAAAGCATGACAAAATAAAATAAAATTTTAAAATTTCGAAAAAAAGTTCAGTTCACGTGGTCACACGCAGATTTTCGCCCCCGAGGGCCGCTCTCAACTTTTTTGCAATGTTTTGTGCGCGTCGAAGCCGATGGTTACTATGCATTTGCAACACAGCGCTCCCCCCTACCCGGTATTGTTCCGACCCTGAGGCTAAAATAGATGGCTCTCCGCTTTGTTATAGTCTCTATTTTCTATAGCTGACTACTTAGCTCTCTATGTACTTTTTACCTCGTTTTATGCAAATTTACTAGCCTCTCTACCCTTCTCCATCCCCCACTTCCTCCGCCCCCCCCCCCCCCCTCTCTGCGTTTTTAATCGCCTTCGGCCGAAAAAGAAAGTTCTCCTTACCTGCGCACCCTGAGGCGCTTACGTGCTATCCCTTCCTTTCCTATACTCCCCCCCCCCCCCCCCCTTCTTTTTTATAAATGATGACTAAAAAAAGAAGAGGCGTTAGAGAAAAAAATACACTACCCTAACCTATGCTTTCTGCCTTACTACCCTGTCCTAACATAAGACTACCGTAATCTATCCTGTCTCTAACCTAACCTGCTTTACCTTTTTATTTCGTACCCAACCCTACACTACAACCCCCTATTCTACCGTACCCTACCCTATTCTACCGTAGCCTACCCCACTCTACCCTACCCTACCCTACCTTACCATACGATGTTCTGCCCTAGCCAAACCCTATGCAACCCTTACCCTATCCCTACCAAAATACCACACAAACCCAAGAGACCACAAAGAAGCGTGAACTATGACAATATTCATGTAGGCAGTGCGCAAAGTCTCAAAATTTTAATAATTCGCGCGCTGTTACCACGGTAACTGCGCCCTCGACGCAACCGTTAGCCGGCTTACGCCTCGTGTTTGACCCCCAAAGCGGCGGAGAACAGAGCAAACAAACTCAAACATGTTATAGTTACTATAATATACTGGTAAAGGTCGTTTGGAGGGAGCGAAACGGTTGTTTACAAAATGAAACAGGTCAAAGTAAAGAAGAATACAGTACACTTTTAGCATAATTTGTGTTCTAACATACATTATCCTGCCCTATCTTAGCTTACGCTACCCTACCTTACCCTACCCTTCCCTTCCCTACCCTACCCTACCCTACCCTACCCTACCCTACCCTACCCTACCCTACCCTACCCTACCCTACCCTACCCCCACCCTACCCTATCCTATCCTACCCTACCCTACCATACCCTACCCTACCCTAACATACCCTAGCCTACCCTACCATACCCTACCACACCTTACCCTACCATACCCTAGCATGCCCTACCCTACCCTACGCAAGTCTTATCCCACCTTTCACCCCACCCAGCTATAAAACATTAATTTTACTTTGCCTCCCCCCCCTCCCCCAATTAAAATGTGTCCACCTGCCCTTATAATCAACCCCCCCCTCTAACTTCAAGCACTGTCCTAACCCAACACAAAGAACCATCCCACCCTATAATAACAAATTGTTAGGCCCTACCGTCTGTTCTACCCTACCGTACCTTACCTTCCCCTACCTGCCCTGCCCTATACCCTACCCTACATTGTTCCACCCTACCTCGAACCTATTTTGTAACCTACTCTACCATACCTTATTCCAAAATTCGTTTACCCTGCCCTCAGAAAAAACTACCCTAATCTCAAACCCTACCCTGCTCATCCACGCCAGTCGAATTACCAGTCTATACTTGTCTAATATCACTCTTTATACTAATCATGATACCTATACTACAATGGCTATAACCTCTTTTAAGGCTAATAAATGTCCTTACCGGTCGCTTCAACTTGACATACATGCTCACCAACCAAACACCTCAACCTTACTATATAATACTACCTAATCCCTTTACCTCTTCCCCCCCCCCCCCCTTCCTTTGATTTACTTAAATTTCAAACTTCATGACCGCTAAACCTCTCGAATTTGAATAGAGCCAAAGGTAAATATACGGCCGCGCATAACACGCATACCACGGCTTCAGTTTACAGAGTTTATCATGGTATTTGAATACCAACAACAATGCCTGAGGGGTTTAGGTTTTCAAACGTTAAAAAATAAACTTTAAAAAAAAGCTTACGCATTCAAAAATAAGCCTAAGGTTAGAAGGATAGGCCTAAATGCTTTAAAATAAGCCTAGAGTTCAAACAATAAGCCTAAAATTTCAAAAATAAGCCAACTAATACAAAAATAACCCTAATACATTAAAATAAGCCCAGCACTTCAAAATAAAACCTAAATTTTTCAAGCATAAGCCCAAACCTTCAAAAATCAGCTTAAATTTTCAAAAATAAGCCTATATTTGCATAATTAAGCCTAAAGTTACAAAAATAAATTTAAAATTTTTAAAAAAGCCTAAACTTTCAAAAATAAGCCTACATTTTCGAAGACAAGCCTAAAAATGTGAAAATAAGCCTAAAACTTTGAAAAAAGCCCAAACCTTCAAAAATAAGCCTAAGTCTTTGGAAATAAACCTAAAGTTGCAAAAATAAGCATAAACCTTTTAAAAAACCCTAAAGATTAAAAAATAGCCTAGAAGTTCAAAACTAAGCCTAAATCCCCATAAAAATCTAAAGTCTTTTAAAAATGCCATTCCTAACCTTATATTATTTCAAAAATCCATTAAAAACCCCAAACTCACATTAACCGACAACTGACTGCCTCCATGCACACTACCAACCTCACTGTGCGCAGGTATCGTCGTCCAACTGGTCTGACCAACAGTCGTACTCAACTGAGTACCATACGGATTCAAGTTCACCCCACCGCCTGTCACCGTGTACACACCAACATCCGGGTTGTAGCCTTGTAATTTTTGATTCAACTTGAAGATATCTTCATGATCCACGATGTTATTCCATGAAGAATGCCGCTTCATTGGCGGTTTGAAAGATGAATCCGAATATCGGCCGCTGGACGAGTCGTCTGATGTTCCCGAATGATATGGAGGCGGTGGAGTGACTGAAAAAGAACATTTTTTCAAAAAAATATAATTTTATGTCAAAAATCTACCTAAAAATATAATTTAGAAGACTTACTATCATAAGGTAGATGTGACACAGGCAATTGCATCTGTTTAGTCTTGTTCAATATCGAATACGCTGATTTTGGTGATGGATTAATATCATATCGTCTATATGACTGTGTTGTCATTTTAAAATCTAAAAATTTCAAAAATAACAAAAAACCTCAAGCCATCTACAACAATTACCCGTCCCGCCACGATAACAAACCATGCCAAAGAATTTTGGCATTGCGTTGCAAGTTAAGGTAATAATAGAAAAATATATTTTTTGAGAAGAAAAGATAAAATACGAATGTTATAAACCCTCCTGTGGTCCAACAATAATTTTTTATGGTGGAAATACCGACAAAAAAAGCGAAGCGCGAGATGATAACGAAAAAAGGTAGGATAATATCAGATTTTAGCCCAAATTTCAGGTTATTTCGAAATGGGCTCGGAAAAACTGGCTCAAATTGTGTTGAATGGGATTGGTAACGGTGGAGAAGAAGATCAGGGACGTTTGAAAGTTGACAGAGACTACAAAGTGGAAGGAACTAAAATTTCGTTGTGAGTGTTTTACTTTTCGATGTTTTGATGTTTAGGCGGATGTAAAACATGGTGAATATGGTATCAAAAGAAGCGGAAGAGTCATACCTTTCTTTTGAATGTAAATTTGTAAAAATAGATACATTATTTTTCATTTTATATCAAATTTCCTATATTACACTAGGTGTTAACATCGAATCTATAAAATGTGCCAAAAATACCAAATTTTTATCGCTTTAGCGCCATATCTTCAATGGATGAAACGAGTGTTCGTAAAACATATGAGAATTTGTCAGAATTAATCGCACTTTCACTTCGGGTCGTGTCAGTGGGACAAAAGTACGGTGATGTGTTGGACGAGCAGGAGGTAACGTTAGAAAATGATTATTCCAAGCCGGTTTTAATTGAATAAACACTGTAAATTATCAAAGTAGGGTAAGAAGAGATAGAAGAAGGTTTTTCATATGATTTTGAAAAGGTATTGAAGGGTGGTTTTGATGAATTTGAGGTTTTATATTGATGTAGAGGTAAAAGGGCGATTTGAAGAGAAAAACCCTGAGGACCGTAAAAATTCTGTTTGAACTCCACTAACTTAACGAAAACTTTTAAAAAATTGGAAAAAACGTTGAACTCCCGGCCTCCGGGCTCAATTTTAACCTCGAAATTGTAAAACGATTAATTAACCATTCACATTTATAGTTTTACAACCGCGCACCCATATGTCTGCTGTAAACAACATATAGTATAAGTTACCGTTCACGTCGCCGAACGTGAACCAGTTTGAGCCCCGCAGGCCGTTTTTTACGAATTGCGCAACAGGAAAAAACAAATTTTACACAAAAAGCGATAACTTATGAAATTCTCCGGCTATTTTTGAAAAATACAGTTCGCTGAAATTTTGTTTACAGTTAGTGATAATAAATTTGATCCTACTGATTTGGAATTGTAAAATAAGTAAAATACGACTCGAGACAATCGTGTAAAAAGTAAAACGAAGTTAATAGAAACTTGAACTTTTCACATAAAATGGCAAAAGTCAAGCAAAATTTGCGTTTTACAGGCTATAATGAAACTGTATGGTAAAAAATGGCAAGACTATAAAATAATAAAACTATATAACGAAATTGGTCATCAGTAAAAGATAATAATTTAATGTTTTGCTGAAAAAAAATTAAGGATTAAAAAGATATCAAAGTTACTGCATAAATTAAAAAAAAGCTAATCTCATAAAAATGCAAAAAAAAGACAAAAAAAATAAAGAAAGGAGGTAAAATACGACGCGTTCATTCAAATTCTCAAGATCAAAAACTAGAAATTTGACAAAAAATGACAAAAGAAAGCTCAAAAACAAGACAATGCAATCAAAGATATGACAAAAATAGGCAAAAAAAAAGGAAACATAGTGGGACTCCTGTATAACGTCGCTTGGGGATTCCATGGTTATGAAGGAGTTTTGTTATAGAGGAGTTTTAAATTCACTATGTAGTAGCTGGGGATTAAAGAGTTGTTCATTATAAGGAAATTTCGTTATACAGGAGTTCCACTGTACTTCAAAAATAAAGGTAAGAGATGCAGTCAAACTCTTTTAGTATGACACTGAAGAGATCGGACCAAAGTGGTATTCAAACTATTTTATTATGACACTCAAGTGACTGGGCCAAAGTGCCATTATAAACAGGGTGTCACGTAAAGACTCACTCCGGGACGTCGCTACAGATTTTTAAGAGGGGAGGGGCGAAAAACAAAAAAAAAGGAATGTCATCATATACAAAACAAAAAATTTTATCAAACGTATGACCAAGCAATACGATTTCAATAATATGTACGATAAAAATACAACCAAAAATACAGAAACAACCCAAATATTCACCCCCAACTAAAAGTTCAATTCAACCCTCACCCTAATCCCCACACGACCGCAATCGGCTCGATTTACCGGTCATTTCACAAACCAATCCAATACCCGTTTCAAACCCACCCCCTTTAACTCGAAACTCATCGACCTTCTTGACCTCGGTCTTGATCAGTTCGAAACAAAGACTTTGAAACCTATTCAAATTTTGAGCAAATTTTTTGCTCTTTTTGCGAATGTTTTGGGGACTGGGTGACCCTTTCGCGTCGTATGTTGTCCGTTGGACAAACAAAACGACGTGGAAAGAGGTAAAGATACCGCGGTTACCCTACCTCAACGTCCAAGTGTGCGAGCGAGCCGAAATCGTTAAAGAGCGTAATGAGTTTGAAATAAGTTTTGAAAATTCAAGTTTATGAACTTTTCGAATACTATTTAGGCATTTTGGTAGGCTTAGGCTTAGTAGGATCCGGTTCAGCAGGCATATGCTTAGTAGGCAAGGCTTATTAGACTTAGGCTTGTAGGCTTAGGCTTGTAGGCTTAGGCTTAGTAGGATCCGGCTTAGCACGCTTAGACTTAGTAGGCTTAGGCTTATTAGGCGTAGTATCAGGATGCTTAGGCTTTGTATCTTAGGCTTAGTAGCTTTAGGCTTAATAGGCTCAGGCTTAGTAGTCTTAGGCGTAGTAGGCTTAGGTATAGTAGGCTTAGGCTTAGTAGGCTTGCCGGTATTAGCCGGGTTTAATAAAGTAGGTCAAAGCTGCTCCTAAACGTTTGTTAAGCTAAATTAACACCCAAAAACAGACTACACTTTGAAAAAAACAAACTTTGATTCAGGAAGCCATTAAAAATGATCCACTTATAAAGACTTTCCCAAATCATTCTCGAATTGTCACGAAATCGCCTTTCACAACAAACAACTACTCACGATGTTGTGATGGATGAGATTGTTATTAAGTTCGAGCTAATTTATCAAGCAATCGACCACAAAACATTAAAGTGTAGCTGATGAAGCTACATTTTGTTGATGTTTGGATGGAACATTGATTAAGGTTAGTAGGCTTAAGCTTAGTAGGCTTAGACTTAGTAGGCTTAAACTTAGTAGGCTTAGGCTTAGTAGACATAAGCTTAATAGGTTCAGGCTTAGGTTTCGTAGCATTAAGCTTATGCTTAGTACGCTTTCTCACGGGTGATAATATATCTCCCTCGCAGTAAAATAGAACCAAACCCCAGCACTCGCAGTCATTTTTTGGGTCGTTTTACACCGAGGCAAGTATTATATAAAACCATAATATTACATAAGAAAACGTTGCGTAACACCATTTCTGGCAATTTCTCTAAGGCTATCTTGTTATATCATAAGATTAGGTAACACCGCAGATAAAAAATTTCGTTTTCTGGCAGCATTTGTCGTCTTTACCTGTACTTACTCTATTTGACCTTGCACTATTGTGCTTCACATTACCTTTCCATGCCTTACTGAATTGGTCTTATAATGATCTACCTTACCCTTGCCATGTTTTATCATAGCCTACTCTAACCTTACTTTAAATTTCTCTGCGTTGCCTTGTCCTAACGAGCTCTATCTTGCCTTGCACTGCTGTAGGTGCCGTACCTTGCCCTTGCTAGGCATTAAGATAGCCCTACCTTAGCTCGAGCTTTACCTGCTTTACTTTACTCTGTCCTCTCGTGCTTTACCTTAGCTTGCCTTACTGTATCTGCCCTACCTTAACATACCCTACCTTTTCCATGTTTTATCTTAGCCATATTCTACTCTATCTTACCCTACCTTACCTTACTCTACCCTACTCTACCTAACCCTACCTTCTACCTCATCTTACCATACCACTGTACCGCTTCCACCATACCCTACCCTTAACAAATTTGAAGCCAACATGATTAAAAAATCTTCAAAATCTACCGCCAATAAAATAAAATAATGACAAACCATACACACACTAACTATCCAACACCCCTCAAAGATGATACATATGCCTTTTGAAGCCTACAACAATAAGGTTTCGTTTCTTATTGTGGTTTAAGGAGAACTCTAGTGAAAAGTAGACGGATTTCTTTTTTCATAACCAATTCAAAAGGCGCGTGCGCTAAAGAATGGCGGTTTGGAACGGCGGACAGGCGTAAGCGGTCATCGTATTGTTTTCGTAAAACATGGAAACATAATCGTATCTACTCTAAACGGTCGTTCAACGTAATTGATGTTTTAAGTGACATAACGCAGGGTTTTTAAGTGACATTACGCAGGGTTTAGATGGTTTTTTGGGTAGGATAAAACCTGAAGGCAGGGGGGGGTCGCTAGGACTTGGTTCGTGGGCTGAGGCAAAAACTTGGGCTTGGCTCCCTTACAAGTCCAAGCAAGTTAAAGTTTGCTTAATTTTGAATTTAAGGGGATGTTACAAGGAAAAAGGCTTGATTTATGTTTTTTAGGCTTAAAATAGGCCTAACTTTTTGTTTTGATCTTAATTTAGTTTCTAGGCTTAAAATAGACCTAAATTTTTGTTTTTGATCTTGATTTAGCCTTTTAGACTTAAAATAGGCCTAAAGTTTTATCATGTTCTTGATTCACCTTTTAAGGCTTATAATAAGCCTAAATTTTTGCTATGAGGGGTATGGTAGAAAGTATATTATTGTAAATGAAACTGTTTAATTACTGATAACTTCCGCTTTTGAGTCACACAGATCTATCAATCTGTTTAATAATCACATAGAAGTTACAGTTTTACTGTAATAAATACGCCTACACACATATTGTTTTAATGAAAATGTAGTAAATATGGTTTATAAGGTTTGTCACATGAATTAGGAAGGGTAAAATACGGTGAAACTGCTTTTTATGGAATATTTAAAGTTTTACAAAGGTAATTTTAATAAGGCCAGTAAAGCAAATATTTGTTACCTAAACTTCATGATATGGCCATCACTCATCCCCTACTCTGCTTTATCAAAAAAGATCAGCTTCCGCCCCCTTCAAAAATTTAGGTGTTATTCCCCCCCCACCTTAAAAATAAATTCAAAAGTCAATTGAATACCAAATCAAAATGCAAATTTCTCGTCCCATTCTCAAAATTAATACCCTATTTTACCCCATTCCCGATTACTCATCCCTCCCCCTACGTTCTTACCGGTTCTCACGGCAAATAAATGTATGACTTATGGTCATTTTTGATTGAAAAAATTACAAAATATTGAGTTGCAAGGTGAATATATTGTAAAATACGAAAAAACCTGTGACTTCTTTAAAAAAAATAAAAATGCTTATCCCTACTCTTACCTCTACCTTTACCCTTACTCTGCCCCTACCCTTACCCCATTCCGTAATGAGAAAAAATTTACTCTCATCCTCCGCTCCAAAGTTAAAGTTGTGCCACCTGACTTTGTTTATAACAACGTCAACACGTTTCGTACCCAAATACCTCAAAAAACACAGGAAATAACACCAAATTACCGCTCACCTTTCTATGCCCGAACGCAGTCCCTATCCATAACAAAACACCCCACCGCCCATGCCCTGCATGTTAATATTCCTGGATGTCGACCTCGACGGAGTGCCTAAAGCGAGGCGCGTGGCCAGCGCGCCGTTAAATCCGAATTTGATTTACCTTTGCGCGCACTCTCGACCCTCCCCACCGCCCTCACCCACCCCGAATTTCGCATCCCCCGGGAAACAGGTGCGACGGAAGCACACAAAAAAGGAATAAGCAAACAGTTGCAAAAAATAGGTTCACATGAGGTTGGAGGTATACCTAGGAAGGGAGTATAGGTATACAATGAGCTGAGTAAAGAGATATTGTGAGCTCATGTGAGAAGCATAACAACAGTTTACGGTTAGGTCATCCGAAGGGGATTCTATAGTTTTCATTTAAATTCTAATTTTATTTTCAAAACTCCAATAACAGTCAGGTTATATTAATTTATTAACGAACAGTTTTCAGATCACTTCAAAAATTTAATCGATTAATCATGAGTTCAAAAAAGTTATCAATTTCAACAATAACACATAATTTAGTTGTTGGCGCCAGTCTCGTCGATATAGGTGCCCTTGTCCAATTCGTCCGGCAGTTCGGGGATGGTTACATCGAATCGGTCTTGTACTCCATTCAGTGTGACGGCATCTGTCTCGTCGGAGACGAAAGTGATAGCCAAGCCTTTTGTACCGAAACGTCCAGCACGTGCTACCTACAACAACATTGATTAGTATATCAAATTATAGGAGAAAATTTACTTTTTTTTAAATCCTAAAAAACCTTAATAAATCCAAAGGTAAACCTACTCTGTGTAAGTACGTATCAGAACCATCTGGCATATCGTAGTTAAAGACAATATTCACACGTTCGATATCGATTCCTCGACCGAACAAGTCCGTAGCCACAAGGATTCTCTTCTGGAAGTCTTTGAATTGCTGGTATCTAGACAATCGTTCTTCTTGTGACATCTGACGATGAATAGCAATCGAGGGGAAGTTTTGTTCCGTCAACAGCTGGTTCAATGCTTGGCATCTTTGAACGCTCTTGAGGAATATCACCACCTGCAAAATTTTACATTAAAATAGTTTAATGACGAATTTTACAAAGTAATATCAACTGTATTACTTAAATTAACGAACATTGCTCAATACCTTAAATTTTTTAAAAATAATTAAAAATTTTACAATTTTTGATAAAATGAATGTCCAAAGCAATACTAATGAGCAAAACACTAAACAATTTTGCACAAACTCTCTGCTTTAAAGCCCCAAAACCATACCGGACGAAAAGCCGATGACAAATCGATAAAACGCCCAAAAACTGAACATCTTGATGACTGTCACCGACTAATCTAGCTTTATTCTACCACACCGGTAACACAATTCGACCATCACTTCGTCCCGAAGGTCGAGGGGTTGAACTGCTGACTTGCGTTGTGGATAATGTCATAAGTTAGGACATTATAACATTTTTATGAATTTTATGATCAAGACAAAAAGAAAATTTTTATTTTAAAAAAGATATCAATATTCATTTTCATCAAAAAATAGGTATTAATCTCATAAATAAAAAAAAGACAAAATTAACCCTTTTTCAACGTAAATCAATTAAAAAATCATTACCTGATTGAACTCGAGAGCATCGAGCAATTCCAACAACTTTCGGTTCTTCTCGCTCTCCTTCAGCTTGACATAGTACTGTTGAAGACCGTGCAACGTCAACTTGGCATCGTCGTCCACAAACACTTCCATTGGCTATAACAATATCAATTAATTATTCTTTACATCAATATAAGCCAAAATTTGAAGTTTCTGAAGCTAAATCTTTCATTTTTAGCTCAAAAAACCAGAATTTCATTAAACAACCTAATTTTAAGGTTAAAAGTTACATTTTCCTACACTAAACCAAACCAAATCATTTAAAAGCATCTTAACACCTAAAAAAAACAAAAACAAAGTAAAAACCCTTACCGATTGCATGAACTTCTTGGCAACCACTCTCAATTCCTTTGGTAACGTAGCCGAAAACATCATGACCTGCTTCTCGGTGGGAGTTTGCCTAAAAATTTGTTGTACATCACGTCTCATGTCCTCGTCACCAATCATCTTGTCACATTCATCTAGGATAAAGTATTTAACATTGGACAAGTCCAAGGCCTTCGAGTTGACCAACGCCAACAATCGACCTGGAGTGCCCACGACAATGTGTGGAGTGTTGGTCTTCAACTTCTCCTCGTCCTTCTTGATCGGCATTCCACCGAAAAAGACGGCTGTCTGAAAATATTGAGGTTAAAAGATGTAAAGGCTTATTTGCATTGTTTTTTATCAAAAAAGTTTCGTGAAAAGTCAACTTCCGAGCGAAAACATAAAGTATAATATCGAACTTGAGTAAAATCATAACACTATCTCATTGAAAAGATCATTTTTGATTAAAAAACATTGCTCTAATCACATTTAAGCTCAAGAGCCATCTCATCCCTCTAAAAATCCCAAAAAAACAACAAAAAACTAACTAACCTTCAAGTTTGGCATGTACTTGGCGAATCTCTCGTACTCCTTGTTGATCTGGAAAGCGAGCTCCCTGGTGTGGCACATAACCAACACCGAAACCTCGCCATCGACCGGCTGAATCTGCTGAAGCGTGGCCAGAACGAAGACGGCGGTTTTACCCATTCCAGACTTAGCCTGGCAAATCACATCCATACCCAAGATCGCTTGAGGAATACATTCGTGCTGCACTTCCGACGGATGCTCGAAACCACAGTCAATGATGGCACGAAGGAGTTCGGGACGAAGCATGAGATCGCGGAAACCGGAACTGTGAATGGAAGCATAGTGACCCTGAAATAGATATTGTTATAGATTTTTGTTGTTGATTATTGATTTCAATGGTAAAACTTAATCAAAAAGGTTTTAAACACTTATTAAAAGATCAAGCAGTCTTTTCTGCGTCTAAAAATGTAAAACTTAAGCAATCCGGCTTCAAAAAGATGCCTAAATACCAAAAAGCATAAAGAACATCTATTTCCTTTTATCTAAAGTAAGAAAATAGTTAAAACCACAAACTAAAGCCTGAATAAAATGATGAAGCTTTAAAAACCATAAAGTATACTAACACTAGCTTGTAAACGATATAAATTTCCATCCTTTCCTATCTAAATCAATAAAAACAATAATCTAACTCAACATACCTTCATTTTCTTGGTGTCAGCACCGGAACCATTTTCCGGCTTTTCGGCCGCATCTACAGCCTCCTCCTGCTCCTCTTCGTAGTCCAGAAGTTGATCCTCATCCATTGTCGTTATCTTCAAAACAAACGCAAACTTTAATCGGGTTGGGGGAAGATCTTTGGTAGTGCAATATTAACACGACGAATAAAAACCTTTTAAACGAAAATCCTTTTACTAGACCATCTTCCGCATTATAAACCACATCTTCCACTCTTTATTAAAGACCATCTTCCTGCTTTTAAAGACCCATCGTTCGTGAACAACATCATCTTCATTTAACCGGGCTTCAGGTCCGAGTTGTAAATGTAGACAACGTATTCCGCAGCCATGACGCCAACACACCAAAAAATAGTGAAAAACAAATAGATTCGGAACGAACGCCGACCAAAAATGCTTGGCGCTTTCGAAAAATATCGATTTTCCACCGTAGTTCGTGGCGTTCAGTCTTTTCGTGTTGGGACCCAGGTGAATATAGAGTGTGGTGGGGAATACGAATTTGATAGGTGTAAAATTGAAAAATATAGTGGAAATTAGTATAAAAATAACATTTATAACGTAATTCCTTCGGAAATTCTACTACATTTTTGAAAATTAAAAAATGCAACAACTATGAAAAAATACCCAAAAAAATCATTTTAAAAACTGTTTTTCCAAAAGATAGTTAACTGAAAATGGCCATAATATAAGGAAAAGCAACTCTAGTATATAACATATAAAAATGAAACAATAGAATACGTTTTTCTAGCATAAAAATAGAAAGAACCACTTTTCAGGCAGAAGACCCACTAAAATGAGGTCTTTTCTTACGTTTTTGATATACCAAAGCCACGGATTTTTGACGTAATGTAAAAAATAAAAAAGCTATGTGTTGTATACACCTTTGTCGGTCCTATCGTTTGAAAACTCAACCATCGTCGTTATGAAAAATCGATTTTTTTGGATTTAAAGCTTGAGTTTTAGGGTTTAATGAAGAAAAAAGGTGGATATAGCTCAAATAAGGGCGTATACCAGCCGGATTTCAAAACCTTAGTGCAAGCCACATTCTTAAAATAAAGCTCTACACCCATAGCCACCTCTGCATAAACATCTTGGCCATCTATCATTACTGTAACTATGGCAAACCTCATTAAACCTTTAAAAATCAGCAAAAATGAGCATTTCAACATATAACTCCTACCCCTCAGTACCTCAGTAGCTAAGGCTTAAACAAAATCCAATGTCTAATCAAAGCTTGATTTATTAATGAAAAAAGAAAGGGTACAGAAATTTCGGAGAGTGAGATGTGTTTGGTGGGATGAGTGAGTACAAACGGGTAAGACAGTTTTGATCAAAAAATAATTTAACACGCGGTAATTTGGAGCTAAAATGATTGGAAGAGACCTGTTTTGAAAGTGTTTTGACGAAAAATAGGGACAAACCTAACAATTTTGGAGCTAAAAACTGATTTTCAAAAAAAATACCAAAAAATAAAAAAAAATTTTTTTGAAAAGTATTTTTTTTAAATTGAAAAAATATTTTTTTAATTTTAATATAGACATATTTTTTCAAAATTCAACAAAAACCGTACTCAAAAATAAAAAATAATGTAAATCAGATATTGTAGTAGACACCAAGCCAATTTTCATAGCCAATACTACTGCAACATCACAAATATCGACCAAAATTACATAGCATATTGCTGTAGGGTATTTTTGATCTTTTCTGGAAGACAACTAATAGCAGCCGGGTCTTGAGTCAGGGCTTTTTGAACCATTTGAGCTAGGTACTGTCTGATGTTGACGTCTCTTGGAATGATGGGATCTGATTGGATGTTGGTAAGTTTGCAGTATACATCAGCGGCTTCTGTTTCCACTTCTTCGTCGACTTTTTCGAAAATGCCCGATGTTGTAGTAGATTCGACGACAGAAACTGCGGTGTCGACCAAGCCTGGGAAGATTTGCCTAAAATTTGAATTTAAAAAAAAATGGTAAGAACTTTCTTTACAAAACAAAAAATGGCAAGAACTTTCTTTAGAAATCAAAAAATGGCAAGAACTTTCTTTACAAACCAACAAAATGTTATTCAATCCCAAACTTACTTGATTTGATCATACGCATCCCCGACAATCGATGCCAGCCCTAGAACAATATGTCGTTTGTCTTCAAAGTTCTGCGCCAGATGATTCTCTCTCAATTCCTTTAGCAAGACCTTGTCCGCAACCATATGGATCATACCCGGTTGGATTTCGTTCATAACATGAGCAAACTTCTCCGCGCCTTTTAGATATGCCAACCTGGTTAAGAAGAGTACAAAGATCCTCGTGAATCTTGGGGTTTTGTTGGCTTGGTATCGGTTTAGCATTGGGAGGAGGATGCCTCTGGTCGTGAGGATTTGATTGGACTAAAAATGGGTTTTTATGGATTACATTGAATTTTATGTAAATTAATATAAATTTCTAGTCCTAAAACTTGTAGTACGTTAAAGATTAATCTTTTCCGTTCATTTTAATACCTAATTCATTAATATTTCATAAAGAATTAAGCCAAGAATATTATTTTATCTACTACAACATCAACATTGGTAAAATCAAAGTAAAAATCAAGCCTTTTAGTCTAATTAATAACTGAAAACCAAACCTAGACTATTCTATAGCTCAATATCAAATCTTAAATCATTCTTAAAGTCAATATTAAACCATTTAGTCTAATTCGTAGCTAAAAATAAAGCCTAGACTATTCTATAACACAATATCAAAGCTTCTAAATCATTCAAAAGCTCAACATCACCCTCTCCATTTCATACCTAAAATCCAAAACCAAAAAAAAATCAACAAAACTTACATCATAATGGTTGATCAACGCCGTCGCCAGCCTGAATCCACTTTCTTCTAACGCCCGCGAGCTGATTAGGCTTTGATAACATCCCATTACACCTTCCACATTGCCTGGCTTCAACACAAAGTCCGGTGCAGTTTTGATAAAAGCCTCAAAAATCGTAGTCAAAGCTGGAGCATTGGCTACACGTTGCCAGAAGTTGCCTTTGACCAGATGTGGGAAAAAGGATTCGTACTTCTCGGCTCCGTAGTCTTGGCGGCCCAAACGCTTCTCCGTTTCGGATTGATATAATAATAGAGCGACGATTTGTAGTGCATATGGTACAAAGTCGGCCAGATCGGCGGAGATGATTTGCTCGATGATGGGCATGATTCGCTCCGAAATGCCTTGTTGAATGTATGGGAAGCTCTTTTTGATGACAACACACAACGATTCGAAGACCAAATGAGTAAAGATTGGATTCTGGGATTCCTTGATGACGGCTTGGATCAGTTGTACCAGGAAATCCACATAAACATCCGCTTTTTCAGCTTGTTTTTGCTAAAAATTTAAAAATTTTTTAAAACTGAACACATTTCTGTACCCAAAAAAAATTACAAACAAGGAAAACTAATAATCATAACACTAGCATGCACTTTTAATGATTTTAAAAATTTGCACCGTGCAAAAAATTAAATTTGCTTGCACTGTGCAAAAAACTAAGACTTTCAAAAATTAAAAACATGACAAAACCTACATCCATAACTGACAAACATCTCATAAAGGCCTTAATCAAGTAGTGTGACTTCTGTGAATCTGGCTTTTGAATCGCCGCCATCAAGGATTCCATGTATTCGCTGGCTGGAATCGTTTGGGAATTGAAGAGGAGCTCCTAAAATAACAAAAATCAACTTAAATTCATTAGAATATTTATCTTTACACCTTCTCAAGCTATATTTTTTTAATACAAGCTTAAAAACTCTTAAAATCATCAAGATATCTCTATAAACCATCAAATTTCTATATTATCCATGAAAATTGGTCATGGTTTCCCTTCAGACATAATTTTCTGTAAATTATACCTCGCCAAACATTAAAACCTAATACTCTAAACATTCACAAGACTCAGTGTTACCTAAAAACATAAAATTCGAACCATGAACTTACATTATTCTTTCTCACAGTAGCCAATTTATCAATCGCGTAGCCCAAAAAGTGGTGCAGAATCGAATTGTTTGATGTCAAAATCCTTCTTACTGGTGCATTTGGTCTTCCGAACGCTTCGATGATTACCTGAGGGTCTAATTGATTCCTGAACAACACCACAAAGTTCAAGGCGTCGGCAATTAGAATTGGTGGATAATTGTTTTCGTCCACCTCTAATAGCTCCGATCTGACGAAATTATTGTAAAAGTCATGAATATTGATTAGAGATGAGACTGCTGTCGCGCCTTGTCGTGCTGTGGTTGATTTTGAAGCTAATGCTGACACCAAAAAGTACACCACGTCTTTTTTGATCCAATTTTCGGATGGGTTCGACTAAAATTATATTGTAGTAGGTTTATCTTATATTTTTGACACATTATTGCCACGGTGATACAGCATCCTTTAAAATTTAACTCAATAATGTTAAAACAATGGCATATAGATCGATCTAGACATAGCTAGCTGATGTTATTGTAGGTATGAACCCTAAAAATTAAAAAAAAACCAAAAAAAAATATTACTTGAAATTCGTTCAAATATTGAGTAATAGCTTGACTCAAAACTTTGAATACATCAGCTTCAAAGAATTTAGTTAGTGCGCGAACAAAATCAACTGCTCCACGACGTCTGGTCTCCAAATCCAGACCTAAAATCATTTAAATTAGCTTTGAAATATTAAAATTGGCTTTAAAATTGTTGAAACTAGATTTAAAACGTTAACATTAACTTTAAAATATCAAAATTAACTTTAAAATCATAAAATTTGTGCTTAAAATAATTAATAATAGCTTTAAATCAGTAAAAACAGCTCTGAAGCTATACCTTCAATATCCCTCTTCAAATAATCAAAAGGTTCATCCTGAAACTGCTCCAAGTCCTCATTTCTCAAAGTCAAGTTCTTGATAACAACAGCTTGGCAAATCTGCTCCAAAACCCCCGGCTCTCTGAAGATTTGTACATATCGTTCACGTTCACACACGGCAGACAAATAGCCCAGAGCGGCGTTGACTAGCGAGTCGAAGCGAACTCTGTGATCAGTTTGAACCAACAAATTCCACACGATTTCGATGAACTTCATGATGTAGGGCATGAACTCCTCTTCGAAACGTTGACTGTATAGCTTGGCAATGTCACAAATGACACGCTTAATGTTGTCCAAGTGATTCGGTTCGGTGTCGTCTGACCTGGACTCGTAGTTGGGGAGTTTTAGGCTTAAGAGCTTTAGGTAGCCACTCATCCATTCTTCCAAGTGATCCTATAAGCTTTGTGTTAAATAATTTTCAATTCAAAACCTTTACATTAAGCTAGTTTTCGACTAAGAACTTGATTTTAAACCATTTTTCACTTAAACCCCTAATTTCACACTCTGAATCAATACATACCTCAAAGAACTCAGGTAGATCCTGCCAAATCAATGAATAGTAGATCTTGCTGAGCAACAACAATATCTCCAGCCATTGATTCTGCTCATCCAACGACAATCCAATCTCTTGACCTTCGGGTGGCACCATGGCTATAAGTCTGTTGAACAGATCCGTTATTGGTTGAGCGACACTTTGAAGGACAAGAATGATTTCTCGAATCAAATCGTCCGTTCGTCTCTCATTCCTGTAGCGATGTACCAACTGTTCAATGGCGGTTAAAGTGGCCAAGATGTGCGAAAAATCTCCGTCGAGATGTCGGGCTAAAAGTTGCATTAAAGATGGCCATTGCCTTGGGAAATCTTGATTTCCAATGATACACAGCGATTGGGTTAGTTGACGTCGATACAGCTCTTCCATTTGAAACATGGCCGTGATCACAAGTTCTCGGATTTGATTACGTTCTCCATTGTCCAGCGGAGCTACAGCCAGTTGCCCTTCTGGATTCTAAACCAAATACGTTTGTTATGAGACAAATAAATTGTTTTTCCTATATTATCCTTACAAAAAGAATAATTTTAACGTTTTCCATATTTCAAATGACTTTTCCTGCCATTTCAAACCATGTAAACAAAGTCCTTGCCGTTCTTTACTTCACAAGAAAACCCCATATTAATCAATGTCATTTAAAATAAATCAAAACAGCTTTTACAATCTTATCCATGTCCAAAACCCTCTAACGTTCCAAAGAAGCCAAAACTCACCCAATTCTTCCTAATAAAGTTCTTGAAAGCTACAGCAGCAGAAACTCGGATGTCTTTGCTAACACTTTCTTGACTGATCACTTGAAGCAACACTTGGGCGAAACCTAAAAATCGAAAACTAAAATAACATAATCAGCTATACCTGGAGATTTTGAAAGCTCGTCCAACTGTTGCTCGGCTTGTTTAATTATCTGACTGTTCGGCGAGATACTGGCTTCCAAAATTGCTGGCAAGTTCTCCATTTTTCTTTAGGAAACTACCTGAAACTTGATGTAGGTATAGGTGAATACTATAATATTGGTTTACACACGTTTTTTTTAAATAAGCTAACTTATACGCTTCACTAAAAGTCGAAGAGGATCGGGCAGGTATTATTAGATCCTTTTATAACAAAATATGTAAAAACAAAACATAAATATTAAAGCTTAAACGAGATTAAACTGCCTGCTATAATATAAAGTAAAACTTCAAAATACCCCAGAAGCATTAATATCAAAACGACCATAATATAAGCCTATATTATACACAAATTTACCAAGAAATTCCTTCATAAATCTTGAGCAAAACAAATACTTCAAAATAAAGCCTTCAGAGCTATATTATCCTAGACAAAACCAGTCCAAACCAACATAAAACAACGTTATTAATCCCAAAATTTATTTTGCAGTCATCGTGAACAATATTGAACAAGTTACACACGAATCCTAGCCAGAATCGAGCATTTTGAAATTGTTTTACGAGCGAAATTTTTTCAAATAAACCCGCTATCGTATAAAATGGTTTGGCGCAGACTGCGGCCAGTATTTTGGTTGGAGCGAGAGAGTGGTAAGGTTGACGAGACGGTCAGAGAAAAAGCTTGAGGATGGGAAAATGGCGCGAAAAATGAAAAATAAAATAAAAATTTTTTAAAAAGTTGAAATATTTAAAAATTTTTTAAAAAATTGAAATATTTAAAATTTTTTTGTTAAAATTTGAAATATTCAAATTTTGTCCTTTGTGTATGCAAATGTGAAGATGGCCAAAAGTTCACAAATTTGTCACAATTTATCCGGAGTCGCCATTCGATCGGTCGTCTTACTTCAAACGTCTGAGTAGTAAGTTTTTCGGTCGTTTTTTGTTTTGGAAAGAAAGTTATTGCCATTTTTTGTTTTGGAAAGAAAGTTCTTGCCATTTTTAGTTTTGTAAAGAAAGTTATTGCCATTTTTTGTTTTGGAAAGAAAGTTCTGGCTATTTTTTGATTTGTAAACTAAGTTTTTGCCGTTTCTTTACAGAGTAAACACGTTTTGTATTTATGCAGCCTGCTGGTGACAAGTTATACGATGAATAAGGTTTTTGTTTTTGTAAAGAAAGTTCCTGTCGTTTTTTGTTTTGTAAAGAAAGTTTCTGCAATTGTAAACGATTTTTTAAAAATTTTTCCTTGTTACAGTACGTCGACTACAGTATTTTCAGACGAGTCATGCGTATCAAGGCTGTGTTGTTGTTGTTGTGCCTTTGGACGGTCTGGGCGCAAGTACCTGTTTCTAAAGAAGTAACGACCTGGCAAAAAAATTTTAATGTCGGAAAGTTCATAACCCGAGGTGTTTGTTGTCCCAGATTTGTGTTGGAAAGAACGAGTGGCATGTGCATTCTGACGATTGTAAGTTTTTCGTTTTGTAAAGAAAGTTCTTGCCATTTTTTACTTTGTAAAGAAAGTTCTTGTCATTTTGTGTTTTGTAAAGGAAGTTCTTGCCATTTTATGTCTTGTAAAGGAAGTTCTTGCCATTTTATGTCTTGTAAAGAAAGTTCTTGCCATTTTATGTCTTGTAAAGAAAGTTCTTGCGATTTTTCGATTTGTAAAGAAAGTTCTTGTCATTTTTTGATTTTTAAAGAAAGTTCTTGCCGTTTTTTGTTTTGTAAAGAAAGTTCTTGCCATGTTTAGTTTTGTAAAGAAAGTTCTTGCCATGTTTAGTTTTGTAAAGAAAGTTCTTGCCATTTTTCAATATTTAAAAATTTTTAAATTTGAATTTTTAGCCCCCCATCCAAACTGGTAACCGAGAGGATTTTTGTAAACAAGCCGGAGCTTTTCTTTATGGCGGTAAGCTTCCATTTTATTTTTAGTACTATTAGTATGGATTGAGTACCATCCATAGCATTTTTGGTACTATTAGTATGGACTGAGTTTCATTTGTACCATTTCTGGGGCTATTTTGGGGTCAAAAAGTATTTTTTTGTGGTTTTTGGCACTATTTTCATGTGTGTAGTACTATTTTAGTGCTTATAGTACCAGTTTTTATCGTTTCAGTACTATTCTGAAGGAACCTTGTACCATTTTATATGGTTTAGTACTATTTTATAAGAGTCATGGTATCATTTATGTCTTTATATTACTATTGTACTGCGTTTAGTACTATTTTAGTAGTTATAGTACCAGTTTTATCGTTTCAGTACTATTCTGAAGGTGTTTATTACCATTTGCTTAGTAAATGTCTGTATAGTACTATTTTATTGCTTTTAGTACTATTGTTACGAGTTTAGCACCATTTTTGAAAAAATTAGTACCATTTTTTAAAATAGTACTGTATAGTACGTACTGGGATGAAAGTATAGTACAGTAACTAACATGATCAACTTTCAGACACCATTTGTGTTATGAACGCGAGACCTCCACCATCCGCCAACGGTACCACAAATGGCACGGAGCCGGCCGGCAATTCAACAGCCCACGCCACCCCTCTACCAAAGCCAAAACCCAACCCAAAGAAGGCGCTTTAAGCAACCGGAGGCAGTCGGTCGTCAACAATGAATTTGGATATAAAATTTTTTTAAGTGTTTTGGCTAGATTTGATTTTTGAAAAGGTTTTGAAGAGGGGGGGGGAGTGGCAGAATAATGAATGGGAAGGGTAGGGTTAAAAGTATTTTGTGGGTATGGGGTAACAAATCTTTTTTGGTCTTTTATATGGCTATGAAAATTTTTTTTGAACATTGGCCTAGAGTCACAGCCATGGCCGGGTAATGAAGGAGAGAGGGGGTGGTAACCTTTTTTTTCTGCTAATCGCCTGCTTAAAGAGAAAAAATTTTTTTGACCCCCCCTCCCCCTCTTAAATTAAAAATATTTTAAAACCCCTACCCATGCCTCAACCCTAATATGTGCCCCTACCCTAATATCTACCCCTACTCTTGCCCATGAATATATCCCTGCCATGCCTCTAGCACTACTTCTACCCCTACTCCCACTCATGCCTCTACCCCTACTCCTATCCTTACCCCTACCCATGCCTCTACCCCTGCTTCCACCCCTACTTATGCTCTACCCCTACTTCTACCCTTACCTTACCCCTACCCATGCCTCTACCCCCATTTCTATCCTTACCCATGTCTCTACCCCTCCTTCTAACTCTAATTCTACCCTTACCTCTACCCATGGCTCTACCCGTATTTCCATCTTTACCCCTACCTTTAACCCTACCCCTGCTTCTACCCCTACTTATGCTCTGCCCTTGCTTCTAACCTTACCTTACCCCTACACATGTCTCTACCCCTACTTCTACGCTTACCTTACTCTCGCCCATGCCCCTACTTCTAACCTTACCCCTACCTATGCCTCTACCCCTACTTTTACCCTTGCCTTACCCTCGCCCATGCCTCTACCCCTACTTCTACCATTACCTCTATCCTCGCCCCTTCCTCAACCACTATATCCACCCTAACCTCAATCCTTACCATCCTCCAGCCATACCCTGCCCTGACTATCATAGTATCAGCTCTTGTTATAATCTAATGTTGTTCTTAACAAAAATCCTCGAACAAGATACATTTGCGTTGGATCGGCGATATGAATGAAGGTCAAATAATATTCGGCGAAATCGAGTGAAAAAGCGAGCAAAACCGTTTTTCAAGAGGGAGGCGCTGTTCCATTTTTCCGGATTTTTCCTCAAAAACCCAACATTATTTGTATTCAAATTGTGTGGTTACCCAAATTCCTGGACTAAGCCTAACATCCTGTATCTAAACCTAAAGGTTTATTACTTTTAGTCTAAAGTGAACAACCTGGGCCAGAAATTGCGTTAGCCTATGATTTGTACATAAGCCGTAAACATAAATTAAAATTTGTTAAGCCTAAGCTTATTTCTAAGCCTAAAATTTTTAAATAAAACCTAAGATTTGTTCATAAGCCTAAAACTAAGCCTAACATGTGGGCTAAGCTTAAGCTGAAGCGGTAAACCTAAACTGCTAACTAAGCCTAAAGTTTGCATCTAAGCCTAAGGATTCGTGCTAAGCCTAACTTATGTACCTAAGCCTGAAATTGCGTAAGCCTAATATTGAGTTCTAAGCCTAAAAATATGGATCATAGCCTGCTCCATTACTCTAAAATTTTTATCATACTCCTCCAAGCCCTACCCTACCTACCCTTTCCTAATCTTCTCTACCCTACCCTACTTTACTCTACCCTACCTTACCCAAACCTACTTACCCTTCCTACTCTATTTACTCTGCCTTACCCAATCTTATTCCTTAAAAAGATCACTTTCTACCTAAAAAAGCTCTTTCCCTTTTAACGTTACTACAATTCCTTTGCGCGACGAGCTAAAAACAACTGCTTCCCACCTTTTTGGCGACCAAAAATCAAATATTTTTTGGTTTTTCCCTTTTATAAACGGGTCTCCTGATCGTTTCCCACTTTTTTCGCCTCTAATGGATTTATAATTCAATTGAACTTGTAAAGTTCAATGGTTTTTAAGTGGTTTTCAATTTTTTTAAATGATTTTAGCGGTTTTAGCAATGAATTTTGGTTTTTTTTGAATTTTAAAAATTTTTAAATTATAAATTTTGAAAAAAATAAATTTTAACCATTAGTAGTTATACTTTTCAAAAATTTACCGTTCAAAGCTTTGGTTTATACTTGGACAATAGGAAGAAACACCCAAGCCAACCGATATTATCCATGACGATTTTGGTCTTTAATTTGTGTTCTACTGGACATAACTGATCAGATTTGCTGTTAAAATGGCAAATATTAGTTGGCCAAGGTAATAAAGGACCTTTTTCAACCATATTTGTTATGCTAACAACCGATCTGACCTCACAATCCACGTAGACAACAAACTAGATGCCAAAAACATCATGAATAATATCGGAAGAGCTTGGGTGCATCCGCCTATTGTCCGCAAACAAAGTTTCATAGTAAGAACTATCATAGTTAATCACTTTTTTAAAATTTAACGTTCAAAACTTTGGTTTATACTTTGGCAATAGGAAGAAACACCCAAGCCATCCGATATTATCCATGGTGATTTTGATTTCTAATTTGTGTTCTACAGGATATAACTGGTCAGAGTGGTTGGTGAATACAACAAGTATATTCTGTTTCATATTCTCAATCAATCTGACCTCACAATTTACGTAGACAACAAACTAAATGCCAAAAACATCATGAATAATATCGGAAGAGCTTGGGTGCATCCGCCTATTGTCCGCAAACAAAGTTTCATAGTAAGAACTATCATAGTTAATCACTTTTTTAAAATTTAACGTTCAAAACTTTGGTTTATACTTTGGCAATAGGAAGAAACACCCAAGCCATCCGATATTATCCATGGTGATTTTGATTTCTAATTTGTGTTCTACAGGATATAACTGGTCAGAGTGGTTGGTGAATACAACAAGTATATTCTGTTTCATATTCTCAATCAATCTGACCTCACAATTTACGTAGACAACAAACTAAATGCCAAAAACATCATGAATAATATCGGAAGAGCTTGGGTGCATCCGCCTATTGTCCGCAATCGGATTAAGTATCTTATTTTTGACTAATGGAATATTTCCCAAATTCCCCCCATGAAAGTGTAATAAAAAGCGAAAGGAAAAAGTGTTTATCAGCTGAATGTTATCTAAAAACCGTCATTGTTTTCATCTTTTTTCAAATCGAATTTCGCATTTTGACCTTCATATTTTCCTGTTTTTGATAAATTTTGTGGGTTTGAACTGAAAATTTGGTTTTAAAATTGTTTTAGTGTCGTATTCAATGTTAAATTATGTATGATAGTCCCATTTCCAGAACAAAATTTGGTATAACAATATATTATACTAGGTTTGTACCCAAAAATCTCGTGTTTATAACTAAACATCTCGTGTTTTTATACCCACCTGATTAACTTAAAGCCTATGATAAGTTCTAAAAGCTTTATCACTCTCCCTAAACCTCAATTCAATCCAGCTAAACATCAATTTCACCCACTTTATACCTAAAAAAGAGCTTTCGGCCAAATTTCCCAAATTTTTCACTTATATTATTGTAGTTTTGACTGCTGTTTACCCAAAATATTAGGCAATATGATCGCGTGCACAAACAAATTAGCCTCAAAACTACTTTCATACCTATTTACTTTTATATTTTTTAAATTCTAACGTGAAAAAAATATTGTTTTTACCTAAAAATCAAGGTGAAACACCAATTTTCGTGGAGACATCCTCAATATTTGGCCGTAACTCAAAGTTTAATGTATAATTTAGGTATAACCATTTAAAATGGGCAACAAGCCAAGTGGACCAACGTTAGACGAGGGCGAACTTTCGGTTGTTTGCTCGGATACAGGCTGTAAGTTTAAAATTACATTATCCTTGAGGACCTATAGGTGGGTTAATAAAAAATTTAGGCGGCTGAAAAGATTCCGTATTTTACTTGTTAAAATTGTACTTTTTAGAAAGCTGAGAATCTCCGCTGTCTTTTGGATATCATTTAAAACTATTTCATTCCGATTTTCCTGTCCAAAATAACAAAAATAGACTTTAAGCTTGAAGAACTAAAATATTATTCTTAATGTAAACTGGACTAGTCAATCTCGACGTATTTTACCTAAAACCATGCCAAAACTTACTTTTTCAGTTACTCGGAACCAAGTTCTACGTCTTCACAAACGATTCGCCGAATTGGATTTGGAAAACAAAGGATACTTGACCAAGAATGACATGTTACACATCACCAAATTGAATGTAAATCCGCTTGGAGATCGAATTGTGGACGCTTTCTTCACGGAATCGTAAGTTTTATTGTTTTTACAGAGTAAACAGTTGGGATTTTGTGTAAAAAGCCGAATATTTTGTTTTTTTTTGTTTTACAGAAAAGGCGGGCCGCGCCCGCGGCGCGCAGGCTGCAGAAAACATATTTGTTGTGGATGAGTATAATTGAATGTAAATTGATTTAAAATAGGTTTGATATTATGAAAATGGGTTTTTTGAGTAAAATACGGTATATGAGATTCGGTTTATACAAATTGTCTAATTTTTGCAGGTACCAACCTACTATAATATAACTTTTCATCAAACAAACCAAAAAGCATGTTAAAATTTGTATAAAATATCGTATTACAGACAAGACTACGCAGAGCTTGACAAACGAGACTATGAGAATCAAGCACCATGCGAAAAGATTACCTTTAATCAGTTCGCCAAAGTTTTGGCCAGGTTCAGGCCAACGAACAGCAAGGAGAACAGTGAGATCAATAACAGGATTCAGAAGCTGAGATGTAAGTGTAAAATACGTGGTTTTTTTGTGCGAACCGGGTTTTTTAAAGGAATTTAACATTTAAAAAATTTTTCAAAAAAGTGTACCAGTAGTACCACTTTGCAAAAAAGCAGTACCATTCTGATCAAGAACAATGCTTGTGGTACCATCGTTCTGAAAATACATAATTAGTACTGTAAATCCGTTAGAGTCCCTAATAGTATCATTTTTAATAACAAATGTGCAAAAACTGTACTAATAGTACCATTTATAGTCGCATTCTCAATGTACGACCTGGAGAAGAACAACTACATCACCCGAAGCGAATTCCGTCAATTGTTGATGAAAATGGTCGGCGGAAACGTGAGCGACGAACAGCTGGACAGTATCGTAGATAGAACCATTGGCGAAGCGGACCAAGTACAAGATGGCCAAATTTCATTCGAAGAGTTTTGTAAAGCAATGCAGAAAACCGATGTCGAGCAGAAAATGTCTATTCGGTTTTTGAGCTAGATTTTTTAAATTTTTTAAAGTTAAAAAAAATTCTTTTAAAATTTTTAAAATTTCAATTTTTCCAATTTTGAACTTCAAAATGTATAGTGACGACCTATAATTCATATCTTGAAATTTGTATTGATATACTGTGTGTTTTTTAACTGGTTAGCTATTTGGCTTATTTCGAACAGATTTAACTTTGAAAAGATGAATAAATACTGACTTTCAAATATAAAAACAGCGAAAAATTTGAAAAAAAAACCAAAAGAATAGTTTTAAAAAATTAAAAATATATCCAAAATGCCATTCTAAATCAAATTATTACCTAAATTTTAATTTATTCCTCAAATAAAACAAAAAAATACTCACTTTCTGTTTTAGGGAACCCAATCAAAAGACAACTTTTGATTTTATATAAGAAAAAGAAGATTTTTGTTTCTTTGATTTCAATTAAATTCTAATCGAGGTTGGTACTTGATTCAGCTCATGTAAATGTGGCTAGAAATTTTAAATTTTGGAATGCTTGATCGGCGCTAGGACAAATGCGGTTTTTGGACATTTGCGGATCTGCGGTTTTTAGACAATTGCGGATCTTCGGTTTTTGGACACTTGCGGATTTTGGACATTTGCGGATTTTTTTAAAGGTTTTTTTTTATTTTTTAGTTAATTTAGTTGTATTATGGTACTAAATTGTACTAAAGTTTGAATTGGTACGGTTTTAACATAACAGTACCTTTTTGGGCTTTTAGTACTATTTAGTATCAAAAATATAAAAACAGTACCGATTAAAAGTTTAGTACTATTTAACATTAAGAAATATTAAGACAGTGCCAATTTAAACTTTAGTACCATTTACTACCATACTGCAACTAAATTAAATAAAAAATAAAAAAAACTTCTTTAAAAAATCCGCAAATGTCCAAAATCCGCAAGTGTCCAAAAACCGAAGATCCGCAAATGTCCAAAAACCGCATTTGTCCTAGCGCCGCTTGATCTGTTGGTTGAGCTTATATATTTTAACCATGTTAGGGAGGGGTGATTTTCTTTTGTTTTATGAGGGTTTTTTTAATTTTAAGCGTTAGTTTATGTAACTCATGTCATTATTAAACGTATTAATCTACAACTTATTTTACAAAATGTGTATTCATGTTTTATTTATTCAACTTTCTCTTTATACAAAAAACTCCTAACAATTTTCAAAACAACTTTTACAGCCAAAGCCAAAACAAGTAGTATTACTAAAGCTAAAACTAGTACACTAGCTGCTAATGTGGCTAAAACATCAATATTATAAAATTGGATGAGAGTCAGTTTCCGACCAGGTAGATCAAGATGTTCGTGAATGTCGAACCGACCAGCAAATTCGACTGCTTTTAATAGTCTGTCGTCTGGGCTTTCAGGCCTGTTTCTTATTAGTTCGGAGATCTCTTTGGCGTTGGTTTGGTAACTAAAATGAGGTTTTTTTAATTTTTTAGTGTTTGTTAAAGAAAGAAGGGCAAGAACTTTCTTTACAAAGTACGAAATGGCAAGAACTTTTGTTACAAAGCAGGAAATGGCAAGAACTTTCTTTACAAAACATAACATGACAAGAACTTTCTTTAAAAAACATAAAATGGCCTAAACGTTAAAAAAATTACCTCTGGTCATCATATATAATTTTTCTTAAAGCATCGACCAAAATCTCAGTAGTCAATGTAATCTTGTCCAAAGTAATGCCCATTTTCTTTCTCTCAATCATGGCCGAATTCCTTTTTTGATCCGAAAACAATGGAATACTGATCATAGGTGTGGCAGTAAACGTAGCTTCAGTTAAACTATTCATTCCACCGTGAGTAATAAACGCCAATGTTTTTGAATTTTTCAAAATTTCACGTTGAGGCATCCAGGTAAAAGTGTGAACGTTACTATAGTTTTCCGCTACTTTATCATGTTTGTTTTCATACTTCCACAAAAATTCGACCTCAGGAAGTTGTTTGAATGCCTCAAGGAATGTGATCTTAAGTTCAGCTGGCATTGATTGACTTTCGGCTACAGAGCCAAAACTCATGTATACTACGCCTTTATTGGCATTACTGTAGATTTTTTGGAATTTTTCTGGTAATTCCGAGGATTGTTTTAAAAGATTGCTCATCCCATATCCACCAATGTTAATGTATTTGTGAGAGATTGGTCGAGGGAAGTCTATGAACTCATCCGAATTGACTAGGACATAGGCTGCACGGTACATGTAGTCCTAAAAATTTGAGCATGTTTAATATTTTTTAAAAGGAACGATAGAGAATTGAGAAGAAACAAATAGAAAGAGGGCTTTTTCGGCTTTCTATGGAACCCAATCAAAAGACAAGGGAGGTCTTTATTGTTCCGAACGGCTTTCCCTCGTCCTTTCATCGATTAGGCTTATTAAAAAGCGCATTTTTAATAAAAAGTGGATGAGTTTTGCATTCTAACGCATTCTTCCTTTTTACACCTCTCAAAACTTACATAAAGATCTTTGTCATCAGTAGCTTTTCCGTAGCTTTCATCGAACAATCCCATAAACATAAACTTCACTCCCAATGTATATAACAGATTCTTCAGCCTATGGCCAAACGTTTTGATCTCTCCAGAAAAAACGTCAGGGACAAAACTATGCATTGACGGAATTCCTAAATTGGCGCTAAATTCCAACGCCAACGATGTGCCAGCAACTTGTATAGTACGATTAAGTCCTATGTCATTGAATAGTTTGAATCCACAACATTCTACATTTTCGGCCACACCAAGATCAAAGTTTTGAGACTTCAGATGGGATATCAAAGTTTGGTTGTTTAGTTGCGTGCTACAGTAGTGGGCAAACACTTCTATCATCTTTTTGTACAACTAGAAATTGTGTTTCCGATTAATTTATATTAGGCATATTAACATAAAGATTTATGTGGCTATGATAAGCGTTAGAACTAAAATCTCGGGTAGGGGTAGGGTCAAACCTAAATCCAAGGCTATGGATAGAGCTAGGGCTATTATTAGCGTTGGAACTACAGTTAGGGTTAGAGCTAGGGCGAGGGCTAGAGCTTAAACTAGTGCTACGGCTTAGGCTTGGGCCAGGGTTGGAGCAAGGGAGAGGGCTAAGTTTACCTTTAATGTATCAAAAAATCCATGTTTTGATTTACCCCAACAATTCTTCGTACTATCTCGGTTTGCTATGTAATCATTGTCGTACGGAATTTGTATAAACTTTATAGTTTCATTCGTGTGCCCAGGATGCTTTGCTGGCATCATGAGTTGTTGCAGAATTGTCTGAAAAATATTTTTTAAATAACATTTTTTGTATAAAATCTTGTTTATACTGTAATTAACTTAGTATGTACGTAAAAAGTCTGTGATCGTATTTTAAAACTAAAAAATAATGTTTTATTTAGTTTTTTTGATACGGATGCAAACTTACCACATCGTGACCAGCAAGAGCCAGTTGATCGGCCAATTTGCCAATAAGTAAGGGATGACTAGCTCCAATATAGGGGTTGTATACTAATACTTTTAAAGCGTTTACATTAATAAAACAATAAGTTAAGACTAGACACAGTAGTACACGCATTTAAAGGGTTAGATACTGTGATATACAATTTGATGCTTTACTTTACGACACTGTTTACAAAAAAGTAATTAATAATTTATATAAATAGTACTAAAGATATAGTTTAAGTAAAAACAATACCTTAACAAAAACGTATTTACTTTCAATACAAATTTGTCAATTCACAACGTAACAACGTTAAAATTACTGCGCGCAAAACCAAAGTTCCCTTTCTTTTTAGGCTTTTATAGTAATTTACAAAAGTTCAAAACGCAAAACCTATTTGAGTTGACGAGAGTAATTGTAAAACCTACTTAAGGTGGCGAGCGTAATTGTAAAAAAGATTACTTAGGCTTGAGTAACGGTCTAGGATGTCGTAGTTTATTGACAAATTAAGCTTTAAAAACACTTTTGTGATATAAAAAAGACATTGGCAGACAACAATTGTTTTGAAAAATAAGGTTAATATTTGTCTGACGGTTTTAAAAAATTTTTGTTAGAGTATTGTCTGAGTTAAAAAAATTTTTGTATTTGTTATTAAGAATTTTTTTATATTTTTTTCAGCTTTCTATCAAAAACAATTCTGGTTTTTAATTAAAAGTCAAATAAAAAGCTATTTCTTTTACAATATAATAACAACAAAAACGTCAATTATACTTTCAAAGGTCACAAATTGTAGTTTCAAAGTCACGGAAAGTTGGAAAGTTAAGTTTTAATTTGTAACTCAACTTCTTCACGCAAAAAAACATTAAAATGAATGAAACACCTTTTACGGTCAAGAAAACCTAGATAAACCTCCGAGCAAAGACTATTATAATATAATATTTTGTCGTAGCGATAAAAATACAAAAATGCAATGAGTGTTATATAAATGCAAGGAGTGTTATATTATAGTTCATGCTGTTTCATGATGATCATTGATAACTACAATTTAGAAAAAAAATGTTTTTGCAATGTTTGATTAGTGATAAAGGAACAATATAAATTCTTTTTTTAATTTTGGTTTGGATAGAGGTGGAAAGGTAGAGAAAAACTGGGCGTGGGGGGACAACAAGTTTAAAGGCAGTTCAATGAGGTCATACGTAGTAACGTTTGAGTTAATCGAGTTCTTTGAAACGTGTGTAAGGGGGAGGAGGGACAATTTTTTTGTTGGTTTACAAAGTTTTGTAAAGTTTTCAGTTTTAGGCTTAGGGTAGGATACAATAGAAATGATAAAGTAGGCTAGAGTAGGGTAGGGTAGGGTAGGGTAGGGTAGGGTAGGGTGGGTAGGGTAGGGTAGGGTAGGGTAGGGTAGGGTAGGGTAGGGTAGGGTAGGGTAGGGTACGGTACGGTAAAGCAGGAAAATGATTAAAAAATTTTTATTCTTTGTCAATTTTGTAATAAGAAAGATCGTAATTGGGTTGAATAAGTCCTTTGACTATCTTGCAGTTATCTTCCTTGTAGTATACCATGCCTTTGTTACAATTAAAGGTGTTCGAAAATGCCCTTTGGCATTTGAAAAAGTCCCAAGCTGCACTTTTTGGTTGAGAAAACTTTTGCATATTGTAGGAAATGTCACGTAGTACAAAGGTCTGAGCCAAGTTGACAAAATATAACTGATCTCCAGATAGATAGTCCAACTTCTTGCCGGCTAGGTTATTCCTTCTGATGAAAAGGCGATTCTGTTTTTGGTAGGCGTTGTAGATGATTTGGTTTACTGTAATATAACATTTTTAATTAGCCTACGGTAGGGCCTAGGGTACGGCAGGGTCTAAAGGAGTAGAAGAAGCAGAGCCTAAGATAGGGTAGGGGTAAGGTATGATAGGGCATAGCGTACGGTAGTCCGTAGAGTACACTGGGTCCTAAGATGTGGTAACGCCTAGAGTACGGTAGGGCTTAGGATGCGGTAAAGCATAGGATACAGCAGGACCCAAAGTACAGTAACGGATAGGGTACGGTAGGGCCTTGGTCACGGACGGGCCTAGGATACGGCAGGGCCTAGGGTGCGGTAGGGCCTAGGGTACGGTAGGGCCTAGGGTACGGTAGGGCCTAGGGTACGGTAGGGCTTAGGGTACGGTAGAGCCTAGGGTACGGTAGGGCCTAGGGTAGGGTAGGGCCTAGGGTAGGGTAGGGCTTAGGGTACCGTAGGGCCTAGGGTGCGGTAGGGCCTAGGGTACGGTAGGGCCTAGGGTACGGTAGGGCCTAGGGTACGGTAGGGCCTAGGGTACGGTAGGGCCTAGGGTACGGTAGGGCCTAGGGTACGGTAGGGCCTAGGGTACGGTAGGGCCTAGGGTACGGTAGGCCTAGAGTACGGTAGGGCAGGACAGTCGGCACACTTACTAGCAGGCTGATCAATAACACCGGCTAAGCTGGCAAAGTTGATGGCTGGCGGGTAAGCTTTATGATAGTACAGTATGTCAATAGCTTCAAAGCCAAAGCCAATGTACCGTATGCCTTCTTCTTCAAACATCTCGACGTGTTTCTGAAATTTAACTTGTCTTTAGGCTTATTAGAGAAATTTAGGCTTAAGGCGGTAAGGTAAGTTACGATAAGTTACGGTAAGTCAGGGTATGGTATGGTAGTCTTACCTTCAAACTGGCAGTGTAAACTCCTTTTGAATGGTCGTAACAGTACTGAAGGAATTTTCTCATATTCAAAATGTATCGATTGCTCCAAAGCGTATTGACATCAATACCAGCGTTACCAAAGTAGTTATTAAAGCCATCTTCATCGTATACTGGATGGTAGAAGGGCATGATTTTGATCTTTTTCTCCAAGGTTTCTCCAATTTTGTCCTTCTGGTCTTCTTTTAGGTCTAGTACCTTTTTAGTCGTCTCGAAGGCCTCAATCACTTCTGTATACATCTTCAAGAAGTCTACGTCAATATCAGACAAAGTGTGCCCTGACTTTTCCATGTAATCATTGAGCATTTTACGGTAGTAAATCGGAAATACATCGGTAATAAAGTCTTCACAAGTATCGTATTTACCGTAATCTTGACTGTTTTCGAAGATGTACAAGAGTTGTTCTAGTAGTTGCTTACGATATTGTACCTAAAAATGTAAAATAAGAAAACTGTAAAATGGGTGTCTAGCCTTAGCCTTACTTAGCCTTAGCCTTAGCCCTAGCAATAGTCTTAGCCCTAACCCAGAGCCTTAGCCTTAATAATATTAAGGGTAAAATACTTTGGGAGTTAAGTTACCTATGATAATTGAGTATACTACTCTGTTAGTCCCCTTATTGATACTAACCAACTAGTACCGCTAGCCTGCGCCTTGTCCGGATAGTTTGGACCCGCTGACCTATCCCACTGAGTCTCTTATCACTACTATTTAGTACTGAAGTACAGTAAATCCTTCTAGAGTAATGATATTACGATTTATTATACATAAGACTATTATATTATACAATCTACAGTATACCTTCTAGAGACCCATAAAACAACCGACTGTTTTCTCCCTCTCCCAAAACCCGTCTCTCCTTTCTTTCGGGATTGAAGGCTTTTGCGGGCGTTCACAGTTGTCGGGATCGAACACATAGACATAATATACTGATAAAGTCAATTTAGACCGTAACAATAAGCCAGCTACTTAGGCTTAACCTTTTGGCTTTAGCCTTTAACTTTAGCTTTAGTCTTTTAGGCTGGACTCTAGCCCTTCAGCCTTAGCCCTATCTTTTCAAACAGCACATAAACTTAGGCTTAAGACTAAAATGTAGTTTATGTCAACTTACATTCCTCGGAAAGTAGAAAAATTTTGGGAATTTGTAAACATGTGTTACGTTAAGCACATACTCAGCCATATCATCACACTTATCCGCCCCCATCTGCGGCACACAAGTGTCTTCATAGCCAAAGGTTTGGCCATCAGGTCGTCCGATATATACAGTATGTCCTAGTACAAGCGGATCCAAGTACGGTGCACCGTACTGAAACAGCACGGCGAGTACATATCGATAAATACGATAGAAGTCATTGTTATCTTCCAAATTCTCTTCTTTCAATCCTCGCCTCAGGTAATCTGTGTTGAACTCGGCGTCTTTCGCGTCACGGCCCGGTACGAAGCGACGTTTCGTGACAACCGGGCTCTGTTGGCATTGGTCGTAGAGCTGTTTCACTTTTTTTAATGAGCCCTGAAGTGTAAGGATTGAGTTTTGGTAAAGATATGATAGAGGTAGTGGTAGAGTTATAGTAAGTTTACGGAAGGCCTACTAGCGGTTACGGTAAGAGCAGTAGTAAGGGTACAATAAGGGTAATGGCAGAGATACGGTAGTTGTAATAGTAAGCTTGCGGTAAGAGTAAAAGTAACGTTACGATACAGTTACAGTAAAGGTAGTATTAAGTTTACGGTGAGAGTAATAGTAAGATTATGATAGGGTAGGGTTACTTAAAAGGTAGCGGTAGGGGTAATGGTGGGGAACGATAGGGTTATAGTAAGAGTAACATTAGAGTTACGGTACAAGTAATTGTAAGATTATGGTGAAAATATTAGTAGGATTACGGTAGAAATAGTAGTAGGGTTACGGTAAAGGTAATAGTGGTGCTACAGTAGGGGTAGCAGGGTTACTTTGAATATTAGTAGGATTACGGTACAAATGACAGTAAGGTTACTGTAAGAATAATAGTAGGATTCTATTGAGAAAAGTAATAAGGTTACAGTAAGAGTTATATTAGGATACGATAAAGAATAGCAAGGTTCTGGTAAGGGTAGTGGTAACAGTAAAGCTCTTGTGGTAGTATTGGTAGAATTACGGTAAAATTAGAGTGACGGTAGAAATAAGATCATGGTAAATGTAAAATTAGTATTACGGTAAAAATAAAGGTAATAATTGGCGTAAGAGTACAGTAGTATTTGTAAGGAAGGGTCAAGTAAGGAAGGCTAAGATAGTATTAGTTTGAACCAAAAGTAGCGGGACACTTTAGATAAAAAGTGTCCCGCTACTTTTGTTTCAACATAATATAATATTGTTACATTGAACCTACAATATTGGTCTTCAAGTTATTCATAACATCTTTCATGAGCTCGGCTTTTCGTTTTTTCACATATTGTGATGATATATTCGAAGTGGCAAAGCTTTGAAAGTCATTGCAAGGTGGAAATTGTTGGGCAATTCCACTTTCAATCAGCTTGGCTTTGAACTTTAGGGCTTCATCGTCCTAAAATTAGATTTATTGGACTAACAAAAAACGATCATTTTATGAATAAAAATATCAGCCCAATCCAGAAAGATCAAGCATTCCAAAATTTTTAATTTCCAGCCACATTTGCATGAGCTGAATCAAGTACCAACCTCAATTGGACTTTTAAAAGTCGAAGATTAGAAAGCTCTCTTTTTCTTATATAAACTCAAAACTTGTCTTTTGATTGGGTTTCCTCAAAAACAGAAAGAGAGCTCTCTCGGAAAAGAAGAGAGCTCCTTCCTTTTCTCCCTTTCTCTGACCGCTCTCTCTTTTCGCAATTGTTTCTCACTGATTTTGATGTTTTTTTGGTTTTATTTGAAAAATAAATTGAAATTTAGGTAATAATTTAATTTAAAATGACATTTTTGAATTAATATTAATGTTTTTAAAAAAAATATTTTAGGTTTTTGTTCAAAGTAGGGAATTTTAGAAAGAAAACAAGAGGTTGGGAGGGGAATCAGAGGGGTTGGGGAATTGGAGCATGGGGAGGGGGAGGCAGGCAGAGGCAGGTAAAAACCCCAAAAAAAGAAGTGGAGGTAGGATTGAATATTCAGAAACTCAAAAAAAGTTTCTTTGACAAAAGTTTTTTTACTCACCCCCCCCCTGCCCCAAAATTTTTTTTTACCTCACCCGCCTTGAATTACCGCCTAGACTTGCTGTTGGCCTCAAAAATTTTTGTTTCATTTTTTAGCCCTTCTTCTCTCCAAAAATTTTTTATTTTTTTTTTACCCCGCCCATTTTAAAATCACCCGCCCTGCTCTTTTAGTAACCTAAAACAATGTGTCTTCTTCATTTTTTGTATAATAATGCCAAAAAAATTAAAATCTTCAAAAAAAACCTACCGTAATACCACTACAACCACAAATTACAGTACCTAGTACAACAACAACCCTAAAAACCGTCATTGGCCGAGCAGTAGCCATCACTGATTGTAGACAATCAGAGGGTGGGCTTTATTAATACCAATCATACTTCGGTTTGATGGCTATATTAATATTACAAATTGGGCCGGAGGGCTTTAATTTCTATTGTTGTTTATGATAATCGACCGTTTTTTCTTGAATTAGCAACAAATTCGAATTTCAAAAGGCTATTTATTTACAAATAATTATTGGCAGTTAGCAGGGGGTGGATACGAAAGACTAGGGTAGGGTAATATTATGGGGGATTAGTACGAGTACTGTAATAGTACCAGTACTGCAATAATACGAGTACTGTAATAGTACAAGTTCTGTAATAGTACAAACTGTCATAGTACGAGTATATTGTACTAGTACTGGCACAAAACTCATACTTTCATAGTATGAGTACTATCACAGTACGAATACTAGAATAGTACGTACTGTCACTGTGCAAGTACTTACGACGGTATGAGTAGTAGCACAGCACTCATACTCTCACAGTACAAGTACTACAACAGTATGGGTATTGTAATAGTACTAGTACTGCCATCGTAAGAGTACTATAACAATGTGAGTACTATATAAGTGATCATACTTTTATAGTACGATTACGAACAGTATGAGTACTACCACAATACTCATACTCTCGTTGTACAAATACTATAACAGCACAAGTACTATTACAGTACTAATACTCTCCCAGTACTCATACTGTAAAAAAATGAAAAAGTTATAAAAATGAGACAAAATACAACCGGTATTACAAGATACGACCCGTTACAAACATTTTGGCAATGAAAAAATCCTGAAGAAAGATAAAATACGGTTAAATTTCGAAAAAATTGTTACCTAAAAAAATTTTTTTTGAAAAATGGCATTTAAATAGTAAAAAATTAAAGGCATACCACATAGCTACCTTACAAAATACATAAAATGGCATTTTATTGCCTAAAGACCCAAAAAATTTCAAAATTAAAAAAAATGTTACCTAAAATACAAAATTTAAAATTTTTTTCGAAATTCAGCCGTTTTTTAGCTATAAAATTATGAAAAAAGTTATGAAAATGCAAGCTAAAATTCAATTTGATACTCATTGAGCATTTGATGACACATTATTTAGACATATGTCATATTCTGTTTCGTTGGCTTTTGAGTGACGGTAACCACGCGATTCGGCGGACTGGACTGGATTGGTGACCTGGGATAGCTGTAAAATTAATTTTATTAGTATAGGCTATCTTTGTAAGGGGTAGTTTGTCATTTTGTTATGGCATATATGATAAAGAATGGCATAAAAGGGTCTAGAATAGGCGGGAAATCAAGGTAACTCGGATGAAAACTGCCACAACTTTTTAGATACTAAACAAAATTTTTTGAAATTTTAATTATAGCTTTAGAATACCATAGTAAACAATAGTAGTTCTTAACTATCTTTTAAAACTTAACATTTCATCTAAAATGGCACAAAACCGCCACAAATCACCCAAAAACCAAGGTTATTCTCACCAAAACTGCCATATCTTATTAGATCTACACCGAAATTTTTTAAAATTCAAAAACAAACTAGTCCATACCTTGTGCTAGGTCCAGCTAGCCGTTTTTCCCCGGTACCATAGCCGCTTTCTCTTCCTTTTGGGTCTGAATGTTGTAGTAGGTCATTGGGTACCGTACCTTGTAGTAGGTCAGTTGGTACTGTACCTAGTAGGTCACTGGTTGCTACACCACATTGTTCACCTTGATTTAGGTATGTGTCCAGCTCAGAATTGTCATCACTTATGGTCGAGTTCGTTGTGTTTTGACACTGGCGTGGTGCTGGTACTGGATAAGTGGTACCATCCATGTAAGTGGTACTGTTACCATACCGGTCTTGTTTACCCATAACCAGATTGTTATTGAGCTGATTCACATTTACTGTTGGTGGTACATGGTATTCCGTATCGTCGGTGGGCGGGGGTGGTGGTCGGCATTGTGGAGGTGGGCGTCGTTCTACGGCACGTTGAGGATCGTGAATTGGGTTCGCGGCGTAATGTGGGGCTTCGCTCATAATCTCTTCGTAATGTGGGGGTTGGGAACTCAAAGTACAATAACCGTTGCTACTGTGCATGCAGCACGAGTTACTGTAGTTATACGGTAGAGTTTGGAAGGCGTGGTAATTGTTGGGGAGCTGGGCAAAAGTCTGATGACTTTGAGAAAATTGGGGTAGATTATGCAAATTTATTGGGAGATTGGCGTTTCTTTGCCGATTTTGACTTCCGCAGCTCGCGCCTGGGCCATTTTGGCTTCCGCAGCCTGCGCCCATACTATTTCCACTTCCGCAGCCTGCACCCAATCCATTGCCATCTCCGTAGCTTCTATTTTGTCCTTGGAAGCCTGCGCCCGACCCATTTCCACTTCCGCAGCCTGCACCAAGACTATTTGAGTAAGCGCGGCTCGCGCCCAAGCTATTCGAATGTCCGCAGCCTGCATGAATAGGCATGGGCCGAATCAACGCGCCTTGGGCGTTCTGTTGAGCTACAATCGCCTGAGGCTGGTAGAACGTCGGTGAGTGAAGCAGTTGCGGTGACACCACCTTATGACCGGTCGATCCGTATGGCCATTGGCCGCTGGTCACGACGGTTTCGGCCGAACCCGAGTTGGTCTTGGACGTGCTGTTCAGCGAGCTGGATGGGCAACGTTTTTGGCTGTTTCGTCTGAAATGGTGGTATTAGAGAGGTTTTCAGTTATTCGTTATGACACATTTGTTAGAAAAGTCGTCATAATGACACATTTTTTGGAAAATTCGTCATAATGACATATTTTTTAAAACTAATTGATAAATTTTAGCTTTTTTGTGTAAAATACGTTCATTTTTTCCATCAAGTTGAATAAAATATGTCATGCTGACCCATTTTTCAAAAAAACCGTCAGTATGACATGTTATTTAAAAATTTAAAAAATGCCAAGATAGCCTTGGATTTTGACGAAAAATCATTTTTAATGACTAAAATCGTCAAACACCCCCTATTATGTATGTTTTTCCTTGTTTTAGACTTCCCTACAAGCTACCGTAACCTCACGATGACCTGGCTCCCCCCCCCCCCCCCCCTCCATTTCTCGTTTATATGTCATCAAATGAGCGATTAGCCCCTCGTCCCAACGTATTGTCGTCAAAAAACTGGGAATACAAAAGTCGAGACATGTGATTCATCAAGATAGTGTCAGGGCGAGGGGGAATATGTTCTCATTATATTATGGTAGACAGCTAAGAGGTTGGATGTACTAACATTAAATTTTGGAGAAAAAGATGTGATTTTTGATCAAAATTTTGTAAAATACGTTATTTTTAGTGTTCTTTATATATTTTAACAAAAATTTAAAGTTACGGGCAGTTTTATATTAACCATGAACATAGCTATACCTATCACGATATAAAACTTCATAACTTTAAAACCAAACTTCCAAATTTAAAATCCTTATACAAAATTACAAAGAATACCTTAACCTACCCTTATAGACCCAAATTTCATACCTAAACTTTTCCCTTGACCTTGAAACCCGTCTAATTCCCCTAATAAGCTTAACGATATCATCCCACCTAAAATGACGTCATTTCATATAAAATAAACCTCGTTAAACCCCCACTATAAGCTGACCCTAAACCAATAAGGTTGGTAAATCCATCATCGTATTGGCTGATCGCTTATTATATAACCTGCGACCATGTGTTTAATCCCGAGTGATGTATAATATCGGGACCTGTCGAGTGGCGATTTTGACGGATCAGCCGGTCGTAAATTCATTTTTCTCGGGTTGATTTGGGTAAATTTTAAGTAAATACTTTAGCAAGGCTGTTCAAAGTGTTAGGTTGTGGTTTAAAGTGAGTAGATTGCTGTTATGGAGGTTTATATTGAGGTATAGACATCAAAATGAAGGATTTTTTTCAAATTTTTTAAAATTTTTAAATTTCAAATGAAGTTTTAAAAACCAAAATTTGTGCCATGCCCAATACTACCTTTATCTACTTTTTCAGCAAGTTCCGCCTCAATCCACCATCTAGTTTTGACAAAAAACGGCCTTAAAATCGTGTTACCTCCATCATCTACCTTAACATCTAAAACCACAAACAAAATATAATTACATACCTCCTTCTGTAGACCATAGCACCAACTAAGAACCCAATAGCCGTTACAATGAACAGAACACATAGCACCAAAGATACAAACACTTCATTGCCCTTCAAGACATTGTACATGGGGTTGAACTCGCATTGGCCGTAATTTAGCTAAAAACAGATGATTGATTGTCGACATTGTAATACAATTATATCTTAAAATGACCGCAAGTCTCATATTAATCTAACACAGGCTTTAGAATTTTAAAAAACATCAAAAACTACCTAAAAACAAGGATTTTCCGGGCTAAACCATCAAATTTTTAGGTAGGATAATATAATTTGCTCTCTTTATTGCCCTCAAAAGTAAATTTAAAAAAGTATTTAAATTTTTTAATACACTAAATATTCAAAAACATTCCCTAGAAGCATATTTCATATTCATACTATCTTCTTGACAAGTCCCTATGACCTTTGACATGCACGCCAAATATATACCCCCTTAGGGGATTGAACTCGAAAAACTTTGAAACAAATGAAATTTAATCAATTTATATCATTTCTATTTTATAAATTCCTATTTACTCCAATAAACAGATCAAAAACAATAAATTGGACCGAAAGTTATATTATAGTAATTTACGAGACTTGTGATGCTCTATTATAACACGATATTAACGTCGAAACTAGTAAAACCAAAATTTAAGACTTTCAAAAGACTATAAAATATCTAAAACATCAAAAATTTTAGTTTAAAAACATGAAGTCTTTAGTTATGACTAAAATTTATATTATAGTAAATCATCAAACTTTTCACTTCTAGTACAACATTAGTATGAGCTCAAAACTAATCAAGTTTAATATCAATAGCTTCCTCATAGTCTCCTCTATCTAACTATACCAAAAATTCTCGATTTAAACCCCCGCGCCACTCTTTTTCGATCAAAAACGTTCATTACGTTACCTAAAATCTCTCTATCTCTGCCATTTTCAATAAAATAGACTCCAAATTAGGCTACAAAAACTTACTTTAACAAACTCAGTAATCGGTTCATCTGATAGTAGATCCCAAATAAGGGTGGGATTGGGTGGGGGTGGTAAGTCAAAGTCGGGCGGCGGTGGTATGCATCCACAACCCATAATTGTCAGTGTAATATTAGTAGTTGGTTGTTATCCTAGCATCTAATTAGCATTTCTGAAAGTGAAAATACAGTATAATATGTAAAAAAGTGTGGAGATTCTAAATATCGATATTACATTCGCGAAGAAGTGGGGTAAAATACCAAAAAATTAAAAATAAGGGGGTGTTTTCATGGATAATATTAGTAGTTGGTTGTTATTCTAGCATCTAATTAGCATTTCTGAAAGTGAAAATATCGTATAATATGTAAAAAAGAATGGCGATTTTAAATATCAACATTAAATTCCCTAAAAGGCGGGGTAAAACACGAAAAAAAATAAAATAAGGGGTGTTTTTCAACGATTTTTTCGAAAAAACCGCGAAAATAAAGTTTGAAAATAAAAATCTTTAAAAAGATATAAACACGAGATGAAAACTAAATTTTGGCGTTGACACGGCCTTCCAGAATCCTTTGTCAATTACTCAATTCACCCAAATCGGCCCCCCAACTTTCGTTTCGGCCGAATTCCGCTGAAATCCATTGTCAGAATCGGATTTGGTCCGGCCTTAAACGGCGCCGAAAACGGCCGAAAATTCGATTATAAAAAAGGCTGTGAAAATCAGTTCGAAAAGGAATGGCATTGCCAAATTCGGGATAGGGAATATAAAGAAATGGCAGAATTAACTTGCCACTGGCATTAACTAGTAGCGTTAATTTTAACGCTCCAGGGACAGGGAATGTCGAACAAAATTGGTCGAAAGGGGGTAAAATGGCAAGAACTTTCTTTACAAAACGAAAAATTGCAAGAACTTTCTTTACAAAACATAAAATGGCAAGAACTATCTTTACAAAACATAAAATGGCAAGAACTTTCATTAAAAAACCTAAAACGGCAAAAACTTTCTTTCCAAAGCAAAAAATCTGATTTATCGTATAACTTGTCACCCGCAGGCTGCAACCCCTCAAATATTGCTGTTTTTAACTAAAATGACAAAAACTTTGTTTACTTTGTATGTCGAAAAATGTTGAAGTCAACCAATTTCGATACCCGGTTTGCGGCCGAAACTCGAGAAATGCGATGGGACACGAAATCGGAAGTCGGTCGAGACTTCCGCTGGCCTTCATTTTCACTTCGAACACCCAAAACTGGCATTAATTTTTTGAATTTTGAAAAATTATTTATATTTTCTGAAAGTACAGTCTTTACTGAGTAAAATACGACGGCTTTTGCAATCTGGTACTAATGGTGCAGTCAGTAGCAACTAAATTCCTATCACCACTACAAAGAGTTTTGAGTAAAAATTGATGATTTTTTCCGTTTGAAACTATAAAAACGCCATTCTTTTTTAAACCTTAGAAAAAATCTTTTAATAGCTTGAAAGTACAGCTTTTACTGAGTAATATACGGTCGGTTCCCTCATTTGGTACCAATGGTACGTTCAGGAGCAACTAAATTTCTATAGCCACTACGACAATTTTTGAGTGAAAATAGCCTTTTTTCTCCTTTTTCAAAAGTCAAAAATGCCATTCTTTTTTAGAGTATTTAAAAATTTTTTAAACCATTTTAAAGTACAGATTTTACTAAGTAAAATACGCCTTACATCAGTCTTTTGCACTAATTGTACTAGTATTACTAACTCAATTTGTATACACATCACGAAACCTAAATCAGAGGAAAATATAAATTTAACCCATTCACCCACGCCCAACCCAAAAAGTGCAAATATTAACCATGCCCAATCCAAAAAAGTGTAAATACTAATCACGAAAAATGAAGATATATTAGCTATTACGTTATGTGTAACCTCGATCTGTGGGCGTGTAAATAACCACTGGCGACTCGATAAGCGAAGCCCGTGCTTAATGCATTGACGCAACTTTGTCATGCCAATCTATATTTACATGCTTACGTAAGCGTAGGGTAGGGTAGGGTAGGGTATAGTAGGGTAGGGTAGGGTAGGGTAGGGTAGGGTAGGGTAGCGTAGGGTAGGGTAGGGTAGGGTAGGGTAGGGTAGGGTAGGGTATAGTAGGGTAGGGTAGGGTAGGGTAGGGTAGGGTAGGGTAGGTTAGGGTAGGGTAGGGTAGGGTAGGGTAGGTTAGGGTAGCGTAGGGTAGGGTAGGGTAGCGTAGGGTAGGGTAGGGTAGGGTAGGGTAGCGTAGGGTAGGGTAGGGTAGGGTAGGGTAGGGTAGGGTAGGGTAGGGTAGGTTAGGGTAGCGTAGGGTAGGGTAGGGTAGGGTAGGGTAGGGTAGGGTAGGGTAGGGTAGGGTAGGGTAGGGTAGGGTAGGGTAGGGTAGGGTAGGGTAGCGTAGGGTAGGGTAGGGTAGGGTAGGGTAGGGTAGGGTAGGGTAGGTAGGATATGTTACTCTAGGGAACACACGCGTATTACTACCGTATATTACCCCGGGTGTAAGTGTGTTGGACAAGGTAAAACAAGGTCGACATACCCATACTCTACCCTCTCTGGAAGAAAATCATGGGCATGTTACTGTAAGATACAGCTAAAGACATGAGCTTTAAAATTTTTTTTTGTTTTGTAAAGAAAGTTCTTGCTATTCTTTGCTTTGTAAAAAAGTTCTTGCCATTTCTTGTTTTGTAAAGAAAGTTCTTGCCATTTTTTGTTCTGTAAAGAAAGTTCTTGCCATTTTATGTCTTGTAAAGAAAGTTCTTGCGATTTTTTGTATTGTAAAGAAAGTTCTTGCCATTTTAAACATAATTACTACTAAATCTCTGAGTAAAAGCCAGAACATGTACAATATAACTATAGCCATTCGTATAACCCTCAGAAGAAGAACACAACCCGTATTTAATTTGCATATCTCGCGCCAATATTAAATATCTTTGGACCAAAAAAGTTGTTTTCCCTCAATTCCCTCAGGGCTTTTCGGCTCAAAAATTTGTTTCCAAACTTTTAAATTCTTGACGTTTTATCAAAATTTATAAAATTTTTCAAAAATTTAAAAATTTTTTTTACCCGGGCTGGTTCACAAAATTTTTTGTTTTTTTTGTAGGCATAGCCGTATTTTACATCAAAAAAGGTGGATTTTACCATTTTAAATCATGGTATAGACTATTTCAGAAAGCTCTAAAAGATTTCACGAAAATGGAAGCTGAGTGGAAGATTTTCAGTGCAAATTACACTAAAAATCTTCCACCAAACTTCCAGTTCTAAAAATGTTTAAAAACGTGTTTTTATACCGTTTTAAGACTTTTTCAAAATGGAAGTTCAGTGGATGATTTTCAGTGCAAATTACATTGTAATTCTTCCACTAAATTTCCACTTTTTTCATCTCTTCTTTTTTAAATTTTTCTTATAAAATAATGAATTATTAGGTTGTCCGGAAAGTTCTGCAATATTTGAGTAGGTAAACTTTGAAAAATCAGGAAAAATTATTTCTTGACGGAAAGAAAAAATTCTTTTTTTGTTTGTTTGCTTGTTACCTAAATTATTCAAAAAGGTAAGTTTCATAACTTAATTTCATTTTTTTGTATTGTTTTAGGTATTAGAAAAAAATGGAGAAATCTCGCCTGCGCGTGATTATATGGAATGAATTCAAACGCGGAAATACTGCGGCAGAAACCTTCAGAATCGTAAACGAAAATGAGGGTAAGAATGTTGTGAGTTATTCTACGGTGACTAGATGGTTCGCAAAGTTTCGTGTGGACGATGAGAAGCTTGAAGACAAACCACGTGCAGGAAGACCCAGCAAACTTGACAAAGATGCCCTGAGGCGCAAGATTGAAGATGACCCACATATTACAATCCGGGAGTTAGAAGAGTTACTAAACTGTGGAAAAAGTACCATTGGTGATCATTTGAAGGCAATGGGTATGGTCAAAAAGTTGGACAAATGGGTGCCTCACAATTTGACTGATCTGCAAAAAGCCAAGAGACGATGTGCTTCCGAAAAGCTTCTACAACGCTGCAAAAACGAAGAATTCTTGGATCGAATTGTAACTATTGACGAGAAGTGGATCTCGTTTAACAATACTAGAAGATCTACAAGTTGGTGTAAGCGTGGAGAAGCTCCTAAGCAAGTTCCGAAGCCAGAATTGCACGAAAAGAAGCTTATGGTGACTGTCTGGTGGTGTAGCTCTGGAGTGATCCAGTACGATTTCATGAAACCTGGCCAAAGTATTACGGCCGACACCTACTGTGCCCAGATTGACAAACTGCGACACAATCTTCCAACAATGGTCAGAAGAAGGGGTCCGATCATTCTGCAGGATAACGCACGGCCCCATGCTGCAAAGAAGACCGTGGCAAAATTCAGGGAACTGGGATACGAAGTCTTGGAGCACCCTCCTTATTCTCCAGACTTAGCTCCAACGGACTTTCACCTTTTTAAACACTTGTCTTCGTTTCTTAATGGAAGAATCTTCAAAACTCCAGACGATGCCAAGAATGCCTTCAAGAACTTCATCAACTCCAGAAACCCGGAATTCTACAATCGTGGAATAAAAAAGCTTGTAAATCGTTGGCAAGACTGTATTGATTCAGACGGTAATTACTTTGATTGATTGTAGTTGTTAATTATATTGTTATTATTGTTAGTTCAAAAGTGAATAAATATTGCAGAACTTTCCGGACAACCAATATAATAATATAAAGTCGTATTTTACAATACTGTAAACCTATATAAACCCTAAAAATCAAAAAAAAATTATCGACCGGTCGATTTTTCTAAATTTTAAAAAATCAAAATTTTTAAGACCTACCCCATTTTAGAAGCCTCACCCACCTCGAATCAAGTCTTACGACCAGTCGTAACGGCGGAAGGATGATTATTTACCCTGAATGTTGACCTCTAATTAGGCGATTGTAAATCAAAACCGTCTGAAGTGAAGCCATTTGACGCCTCTTTACGTTCTAATATCCTATGGGTTTTAGACCAAAATGTCATAATATTAAAAAGCAATGTTTAGGTAATAAAATGTGACTATAAAAATGAAATTTTAATTCAATTTCAATCTTAAAAATGGCATTTTAGAGCTGTTTTTAATGAAAATTGGGGGGCTTT